GGCTCTCTAGGGGAGCGAGTCTCAACCGAGGGTTTCCATCAGGTCGTGGTGTACCACCCCTGCTAAGACTCTGCCTGTCCCCCCACATTCTCACAAGATCCCAGCCGATTCCTAGTGATCCTGTGCCTGCAATGCACAAGGTGCTGGGGAGCCTGCTGAAAGACGGATACCAGCTCGGCTGTCGGGGTGCAAAGCCCTGCGCAGCACGTGGCCGGCAGAGGTCAGGGCCTTCCTCTGTCTGTGCTCGGACCCGTTCCTGACATGGCCCAGCAGGTGCTGAGCTGTCCCACAGCCCACCCCTTTGTGTCTTGACCGCCAGGGATGAGCTGGAACTTCTAGAGGAAGACATGGCTTCCTGTTCCTGGGATGACTTACGGCCCAGGTCCCTGGGGGTCGGAATCCACTCGAGGGCTGGGAGTTAGTAGACCTTGGGCACATTTGAGTTTTGAATTCATTCTTCTGTAAATAGACCAAATACGTGGACATGCACAAATGAGGCCACGGTGGATCCAAGCCCCTGAGGCCTGCAGAGACCGTCTCCTAGCGACCTACCGGACGGCAGAACTGCCCCAGGGCGTTTGTGGGACCTCACATCTTGACCAGAGCACGAAGGCTCATCTGGCGGCTAGAAGGTTCACACGGTCGTAGGCCAGCGCATAACCCGCTGTCAGCAGACTCCCCTATAAGGGGGCACTGCCAGCAGGAGCAGCCGGGGGCCGCACGATCACACGCCTTCCCAGGGAAAGCTGGGCCTGGGGCCACTGCAGGGAACATGACAATGTGGGCTCCAGAGACTGTGACCCTTTACAGCAGGAGGAAGCCTCATCTTTCTCCTGAGAAGCGGCTGGGAGTTTGAACTGCGGACCTGTGGTGAGCAGCCCAGCGCGGCCCCAGTCTCACACTAGGGACCTGCCTCATCACGGTGTGGCCCCTGCCTTTGCCGAGCAAGGAAGAGGGAACCTCACACCCGATGGGGGTCTTCCTCCTTGGAAGACTCACCCCTGCAAAGGATATCGGTCTCTTCATTGACGTCCAGGGTGCCGTACTGCAGACAAGCTTCCACGAACAAGGCCGCTCTGTCAAAGTACCTCATGCTGCCAAACAGAGCACATGGGGTTGGCCTTCCTGGCTGACGGTCCACTTCTACAGGAAGACGTGGGCACGCCTCCCCGGAACCCGCACCTCTGCACCCATCGGTCTCCCTCCCAGCCCCAAGACCGCTCTTCCCCTGGCTTTGCTGATACTCAGGGAGCAGAGCACACAGAAACCTACATACTACAAACGCTTAACACTTCGTAATGTTCCACCCTTGCCACTAGCTGCTATCACCTTCCTGGTTGCTCTACTAGAAGCTGACGCGCCTCAATCCCTAGAGACCTGACAGACAGTTCTTTTGTCATGGGGGGTTAGGTCTAATGCGCATGCTGGTGGGAAACACCGCTGCTCCTAGACCACATGAGGATGGAACTGCAGGGGCTCCCTCCTCCTCAGGGCTTCGAAGAACCGCAAGCTCCCTCCCTCCCTCGGCCCTGGCCACAGCCATCCACCATCCACCGGCAGAGCCTGTCGGCGCAGCCACGGGGCCTCGACAGATACCTGTGGAGCGTCTCAGCCACGCTGGCGAAGCAGCCCAGGGAGAGCAGGATGAGGAGGGCCTTTGACTTCTGGTTGACTTGTGGCGAGCAGAGATGGTCGATCCAGCGCTTCAGGACATCGGCACACTCTTCAGAGTTCAAACGGACCTGAGAGGGTAAGGGAGACATGCCCCACAACGTGAAGAAAAAGCCCATTCACACCCAACGGCCTTGACTCCGCGGCAAGGATGCTGGGTCCTGCCCTGCCGCTCAGCTGCTGCTCACGGTGGTGGTGACACTGGCCATGACTGTGGGCTCGCCCCACCGCGCAGAGAGGAGGACTTGCTCTCACTTCACCGCTACCGCTGCAGGCCCTTGTCTCGGTAAGCAGCCACCCTGCTGGTCTGGGACTGACCTCACTCCCATGGCTCCATTTTGGACCCAACAATAGGGTGTCGCTAAGGAGAACAGTGATATAGGGAGGTGTGCCCACCTTAGGCTAAGTATTTGCCCAAGCAAGGACACAATTTTTGGGGAGGAAGCGGAAAAGGGAAACAAAGTATGGAGCAACTGAGCAATGGGAAAACAGACCTGCTCAGCCAACCCTCACAGATTCCAAAAGACCAACAACAAAATCACTGCCATCAAGTGTATTCGGACGCCTAGCGACCCACAGGACCGAAGAGGATGCCCCCCACCCCAGGTTTCCAAAGCTGTCAAACTTTACGAGAGCAGAAAACGGTGGGTTTGAACTGCTGACATTGTGGTTAGCAGCCCAATGCATCCCCACTGCGCCACCAGGGATCCTTCCAACAAACACAAAACCCCACTACCACTGAGTCAATGCCAATTCATAGTGCCCTACAGGACAAGGTAGAACTGGCCCTGTGAGTTTCCAAGACTGTAATCCTTGACAGGTGTAGGAAACCTCATCTTTCCCCCAAGGAGCATCTAGTGGTTTCAAATTGCTGGCTTGCAGTTATTAGCCTAATGTGTAACCACTATGCCACCAGGGCTCCTTATCCTTCCTCAATTCACAACAGTTTTACACACACACAGAAGTGTAACCGCCGCTCATGAAGAACAGAAGTGGGTGAGAATTACAGGCCAAATGGCACTTCCAACTCAAGCCTAGTCCAGCTGAACGTTGCCACCCACCGGTGGAAAGGACCTACTTTTGCGAGCCAGGCTGCCCGGTTCCACTCGCCGTAGGTCTGCAGGTAGCGGCAGGCGTCTGCAGCCTTGTCGATCAAGCAGAGCAGCTGCACACCCTCTGGGAGAAAACACAGCAGCGGGGTGGCACATCAGCGAGAAGTCAAACTACAGCTGCACATGGCCTGGCCCTGCGCCTCCGGGAACTGCTCTTGACCCAAGGATCAAATGGAGTTCTCTGCCAGCACTATGCCAAGAGAGCCCAGCTGCAGCTCTATCCCGGGCACCCAAGTTTTCCAAGGGTGCTCTGATCCCAGTCTGCAGTCCGGGCATCATGACCAACAGTGGCCCATTCACTTGTAAAGTAGGAGTGAGAAAGTGGCCTGGCAAAGACTAGCAAGAACATTTTGATTTTCCTCTGCACATGTAAACAGAGAGGCAAGTCTCCCTAAGGCCCCTGAGGACGGGTCTGCTTCCCGGGTTCTGATGGAGGTCCCCACCCCCACCCCCGAGGGACAGGCCTCACCTGCCAGCTTGCCGTTGGCGATCATGTTGGTTGCCACCAGCTTGATGGTGCTCTGCGAGGGCCCCGAGGAGGTGACGGTGGTGACCAGACAGGCTTTCAGGGAGTCGCAGTAGTAGTGCTGGTTGTCTGAGCTGGTCTCCAGCAGCAGCTGCACCGCCCGGTCTGTCTGAGGGGGAGATGCTTGCTCTAGACTCAAGGACACCCGCCCTCAGCGCCACCGCGCAACCCCCAGCAGGGAACGCTGGTGCCTACAGCTCACGGAAGAGTCTGGCCTCGAGAAGGGCCCTCGACAAGGAAGGGACGAGCATAGCACCGGCGAGACACACGGCACTCCCCCAGGTCTGCGATGCTGCCCGCACCCCCACCATCATGACCCCGTTCTACCTTACGACTCTGGCTAGACCCGAGCATGTGCACTGATACAAACAAAAGCTCTTGACACACAGAATCCAGGACACATAAACCCCTCAGGACCAATAATGAGAGCAGCGATACCATGAGGAAGGGGGACAGTGCGGGGACAAACAATAGGAACGTGGGCAAAGGGAGACAGTGTAAAATATGAAAATAAAAGTAATTTACAAATTATCAAGGGTTTTAGAGGTGGGGGAGGGAGGGGAAAAGAGGAACTGATACCAAGGGCTCAAATACAAAAGAAAATGTTTTGGAAACGATGATGGCAACATCTGTGCTTGATACAATTGATGCATGGATTGCTTTAAGAGCCCCCAATAAGATGATTTATTAAAATAATAAAAAAGCAGCACAGCCCTGGAATGTTTTGCCTGCCCACACAAAGACGGACCCAGAGAGCTCCATGCAGCTCTGCCTACCCATGGCACACCGCTGCTTCGTCGGGCTCATGGGGCTGCTCTGCTGCCTTTGCCCCAACAGTGAGACACACAAACCTCAAGTACATGGGGAGGGCCACAAACACCAGCAGATTCCCCCTGCCTTTGCTTTCTGACAGACCCAGTGGCCCCGGAAGGGCTCCCTTTGCACTCACTTCCAGGGGAGGTGTGTGTGGACCTGCCTGCAGCCCCTCCCGGGGGACGCACCTGGCCCAGGAGAAGGAGCTGGTCTGTGCACTTCCTGGTGTGGTCGTAGGTTGACCGTTTGACTTCCTGGAGGTTCACCCTCTCCAGCTGGAATTTCTAGAAGGGAAGAAAAGAACACAGCTGGACTGTAAGATTCTGGATGACTTATAAGAACACTGTAAGAAGTGTCCCTTTTACCTGAACTTGACAGAGAACCAAGGCAACAGAAATCCAGCCGCTGAATACAATTAAAAAGTTAATGAGGGAAGTGTTTGCCTGCTTCTGGAAACTGGTACTTGAGAGCTAGATGAGAAAAAAAAACCCCAAACAAATCTTAAGTGTAGTGAAGTCCTCAAAAAATCACACAACTTCTCCCTGCGGATTGGTTCCAATGCAGAGAGGCCCTGCAGGCTGAGCAGCTCTGCCTCGCAGGGTTCCACTGCTGTGAGCGCTGTGAGCTGACCGCCTCTTCTTCCTCCCTCGGGACTGCGGCTGGGTTTGACCCGCTGACATTTCAGTAGCTGCCCAGTGCTTACCCACCATGCCACCAGGGGTCTTTTTGAAATGCTCTGAGATCCCACCACTTCATAAACCCACAATGGCAACTTCAAACGCAGGGAACGAAATCTGCGCTGATGAACTTTCAAGTCAGGTCTTTGGGTCTGACTGTGCAAGGGGCTGATTTCCATTACAGGGCCCTTAACTCGGTCAGAAAGCTCCCCGGATTCGTTGTAGGGACACTCAGTCCAGCTGGCGGTCTGAGGGCTCTGCACCCAGAAGCTGCTCTACCTGAAAATAGCCATTTTCACAGAGGACGTCGTAGCACATGTCCAGGGGGTTGTTCACTTTGTCCCGAGGAGCAGCCTCCTGCCGGTCCTGGGAGAAGCTGTGCAGGTAGTGGGCGGCCACCGTCCAGAAGTGCAGCTCCGACTCGTCACCATAAAGCCTGGAAAGAGGGCTCTCATTACAGGCTCCCACAGCACGGCCTGGACAGGCTTCCCAGGGGAGCCCGAGGCCAGAGACCACCTGGGTCCCTGGCTCAGGGTCTGGCTGTCAGCAGGCAGGCTGTCAGCCCTGCCCCCAGGTTGCCAAGAGCACCAGGCCTGGCTGCACAGTGCCTCAGACCTCAGAGCTCCCTGCTCTGGGATCAGTTCAACACTGCCATCTCAGGGCAAGTCTTACATGGTTTGTGTGAAAACAGACTCATTTCTATAGGTGCCCAAACTTTCAACAGAATGCTAGCCAACAGAATCCAACAAAAACAGCCAATGCAAACCACCATAGAAAGAAAACACAGGCTAAGTACCATATAACTATGTCAATTGATGCAGAAGATGCATTTGATAAAATTCAGCATCCACTCTTGATAAAAACACTCAACAAAATATAAAGAGAAGAAAAACCCCTCAATATAATAAAGGTCAAATATGCAAAACCAACAGCTAGCACCTCGTTTCATGAAGAGAAATTGAAAACATTCCTCCCTCTACAGGGTTGGCACCACTCTTATTTAACATAGTCCTGGAAGTCTGAGCCAGAGCTCTAAGTCATCAAAAAGATGTTAGAGGTGTCCACATCGGCACAGAAGAAACCAAACTACTTGCAGATGATAGAATCTTATATACAGAAAACCCCAAAGATTCAATTTTAAAAATTGCTAGAATTAATTTTAAAAATCTGGCAATGTAGTAGGCTATCAAATCAACATACAGAAATCAGTTGGATTATCTCATCCATTAAAGATAACTCTGAAAAGGAAGTTAAAAGGATACCACTTATGATAACTATTTAAAAGTTAAAATATCTAAAAATGAATCTTACCAGAGAAACAAAATACATATACAAAGGAAACTATAAAATACTTCTACAAGAAACTGAGACTTACACAAATGGAAGAATGCTTCAACATGCTCCTGGATTAGTATAGTGAAAACGTCAATATTACCAAAAACATTTATCATATTCAATGCAATTCTGATCCAAATACCAGCCCAATTCTTCAAATAAATGGGAAAAACTAATCACCACCTTTATATGGAAAGGGAAGAAACCCAGAATAAACAAAACACTATCAACAAACAAAAACAAAGTAAGAGATCTCTCACTCCCAGATTTTAAGACATAGCCATGGAAGATCAGTGGATTAGAACAGGAACTCAGAAATGTAACCAAGTCCCGAGAGACACCTGATCTTTGATAAAGGACTTGAAACATATTAGATGGGCAAGAGACGGTCTTTTCACTAAGCGGTGCTGGAACAACTGATCCTTCACCTGCAAAAGAATGAAACAGGACCCACACGCCACATACGAAACGAACTCAAGATGATCAAAGGCCTAAATATGATCACAAGAACCATAAAGACTGTCAGTGAAAAACAGGGACACATTTAAGGGCCCTGATCCTAAGCACAAAGACACTGCCGAATACAGTAAAAATAAACACACGGTAGAAGACAAAGTAAGGACCAGAGCCTTCTACAAATACACTTAGCACACCAAAGACTTCTTCAAGAGTCAAAAAGAACAGAGACTGGGAAAAATATTTAGAATGATGCATCAGACAAAGGGCTAATTTTAAGAATCTACAGAAAAGTATAACACCTTAATAAAATACAAATAACCCAATCAAAAAATGGGCAAGAGATGAACAGATAATTTGCTAAAGATGATATTCAGGCAGCTAATAATCACGTGAAGAAATGTTCACGTTCATTCACCATAAAAGAAATATAAATTAAAACAAGGAGGTACCACTTCACACTGACACTCAGCAAAATTAAAAAAAAAAAAAAGAAAATAAATGCTGGAAAGGATGTGGAGGATTGGATGAAAACGCTCAACCTTTGCTGGTGATATTTTAGAATTGTACAACCACTGTGGAAATCAGTATTGTACTTCCTATACCTCATGATCCTACACCTCTCTACTGGCCTACTTGGTATATGCCCTCAAGAAATAAAGCACAACACACGAACAGACACCTGCACACCTGTGCTTACTGTAGCAGTTTCTGTCAGAGTAAAAGCTGGAAACAATCAAAAGCCCTGACTACAGAGGAATGGACATTCACACAATGGAATGGTATCCGCATCCTGGCAAAACAAGGAGGAGTCCGTCAAAGTCCTTCAGACACGGACAGAACGAGAGAACATTGTGCTCAGCAAAGTTAGTCAAGCTCAGTGATGAATAAATATTCGGTGGCACAAAAATAAATTTGTTTTCATGCTAAAGGATAAGACTTTAAAGACTACAACAAGGGGGAGAGGGGAAGGACAGGAAAGGAGGGGGCAAGGATTTGGGGGACGCCACATTGTGAAAGGGGAGTTAATGGGATACTGTCCCTGATTTGATGAGATGGGCTATACAACTACATAGAACATGTTTTTCTTTGTATTATATTCCACAAACACAAGGGAGTAAATACATGTATATAAATAAAAGCACATAAACACATAAAGTTAACTTAAAGAGAGCCCCTTAAAGACCCTCTAGGTCCCTGACCCATCAGGAGGGAAACCAAATTGAAACAGACTTGGATTCTTTTGTGACATACAATTAGGTTTAAAGTCAGTAAGACTGACCCATCTGCGTCTGGGCGATGCTCGACCTGACATGCCATCAGCACACCTTTCGCACTGGACAACGTGCTCTGGGGAGGGGTGAGCAGAGAAAGCACACTGAGACCAGCCTCCTAGGGAGCAGTAGCAGGAAGGGCTGCTCCAGGCCTCGGGTCTGCAGCAGGACTGGACTGCAGGGGCTCCTCTCTGCAGCAGAACTCGGGTCCAAGTGAACCCAGGGCCCTTCCTGCTTGCTGTTTAAAATGCCAATTTCAGAAAGCGGGTGGGAGGGTGCCCCTTCATTAAAGATTGGCTTCAGGCTTGGATCTCACATCCACGATCTGTATTCTCTTCTGTTTGCATGAACGCAAACTCCCTGCCTCATGTTGATTCGGACCCACAGCGGCTCTACAGTACAAAGGACAGCTGGCCCTGAGGGTTTCTAGGGCTGTCAGTCTGTACGAGTAGAAAGCCTCCTCTTTCACAGAGCTGGTGGTCTCGAACTGCTGACCTTGCAGTTAGTGGCCCAACTTGTAACTCACTATGCCTATATACAAAATTAGCTGTAAGTCAAATCTAAAGGAAAAAGGGATCTCTTTTCCTAAAACCTCAAAGTCTGGCCTCAACTACAGCCCCTTAGAGGTATGAGCAAACTAGGAAGTCTGTGTCTGGTAAGGGCGCCTCCCCGAATGTTACCTTGAGACGAGCAGGCACCTCTGCACGAGGGTGAATCCTGGGTCCAGCAAGAGCTTCTTGATGTCACTGCAGGAAGGGATCAAGAATGCAAGGAGATCACTTTGGAATGGGAAGATTGCACTCAAATAAAATGAAAGCCTTGCCGTGACTCTGAGACTAAGCCCAAACTTCATGGGGCTTCCCAGGTTTCAGAATTGGGGAAGTAGTATCGCCACTCTACCTGAGGAGCCCGAGGTGCTGGGCTGGGCTCACATCCCTGTACAGTTCAATCTTGTTACCTACATAGACTGTCCATATACCGAGATATGAACACCGTGCCCTAGACATGCACGGGGCCTTCAAAAAGCTCGTGGGAAATGGCACTGAGGACAGCATCTTCCCACGAACTCGTGCAGCGAACCCCTGGGAGGAACTAGGGCGCCATTAGGGACAATTATTTGGCTAAGCCATCAGGAACAGGGCATACTTCAGAGAAGGCGCGACTGCAAGTTTCCTTCTGAAACGACTCAAAGGCTCATGATGTTTTTTAATTCTATTGATTAAGTGACCAATGAAACATTCCCTTACGGTTAATTCCTTCGCTATCAGAACCGCGTGTGATAGACTCTGTCTAGATGATGGCCGTTGGCTGTGCTCCCCAAGAGCTCCCGCAGACCCGGTTTTTCTCGTGGGGCTGCAGTCTTAGTCCTGTCCCAGGCTCTAGGGCACACACTCATTTCTGTGCACACTGCACACACCGGGCCGACACAGGTACCTGATCAGAGGCAGGGAGAGGCCACACAGGCAGCTCCCAGGGACAGTGACAGCCCCTGCTGTGTCGTTACCAACAGACGCACTGTTCAGAAACCTAGTACATGGAAATAAGCTCTCTGAATAGAACGTGCTCTTCTCGGGCTGCAACCATTTCCCCAAAGGCAACTCATCTTAACCATCGGCCAGCTCTGTGATGGCACTTTCCTCTCAGGCCTCCATCTTCAAAGAAAGCAGACTGAGCGCTTACTTGGACAGTGAATTCAACTGCTCTTGAATGAGAGTCTTTATTTCTTCGTTTTCGGGATAATCACTGCAGAGAGAAAAATTTGAATGAGTTCATGATCTCTTTATTGAAAATCATTTATTCCATCTCCAGAAACAGTCAAAGGTCATGGTAACCCAGAAGCAGCCTGTTCGAAGTCCCTGGCTGAACACTAGGCTTCTGATCAAAATAGTAACATTGTACTCAGAAATCTGCCAATCAGCCTGCATGTCTGCTCTTACCTCACTGAGTCAAGACAACACAACACACAACGGGAAAACAAAGTTCCTGCTCTTCAAGACACAGGAGAACTACAACATCTACATTCATTTAAATTAGGGCCTGAAGCCCTGGTGGAACAGTGGGTTATGCATGTGGGCTACTAACCCCAAGGTCAGCTGTTCAAAGCCACCAGCTAGCTACCCCTTGGGAGAAAAATGAGGCTTTCTACCCCTTAAAGAGTTACAGTCTCAGAAACCCACAACAGCAGGTCTGCTCTGTGCTACAGGGTCACTGCGAGCCAGAACCGATTCGATGGCATGAGCCTGGTGTGGGTTTGGTTAAAGTAGGGCCTCAGGCACCATGGTGATATAAGGGCTAAGGGCTAGCTGTCCAATTGGAACCCCTCCGAGGTCTCCAGGGGAGAAAGCCCTGACCACATGCTCCTGTCAAGACTGACACCCAGTTCTCCTGGCACTGGGGGCTGTTATGAACTGGACCCCAAACAAAGGAGGAGCTGAGCCACAATGGAACGACTCTACTCCTCTTCTGTGGAACCCACCCCCCACTGCAACTCGCCACTCTGCCTGCCCCGTGTCTACCGTGCACAACACTGGGGCCAGCTTGGTCCACATCTGGAAGTTGAGCATTGCTCCACGGCAGAAAGAGGCAGCTTTCTGCTCCCATGGGCACTGACAGCCTTGGGAGCTCACAGAGGCAGGTCTCTGTCCTGTAGGGTCCCTACGAGTCAGAATCCACTGGACGGTGGGGGCCCATGAAAAGGGTGGCCTCTGTGACCACTCCTTTCAGTAAGAAGGCAGACACCGAGTCAGAGCTAAGGCAGCCCACTGAGGCCACTTTCACGCAGATCCAGGGGTGGTGCCCATGCCACACTGGGCCTCCATCTGCCCTGGCCACTCATCCTTCTCCTAGTGTGGACAAGCTCCCACTCAAGACCGTGGAACAGACACAGCCACCAAGAGCAGCAGACGCCGCCCACCACAGCTGCCTCACACACCCACGCCGCCAAGAGACGGAATGCAGAGGCCTACAGGAGGCACAGCCTCACCATCAGCATGACGCTGGCACCAAGGTCACCACTGATTTCCGCGGTGTCTTCCAACCCCCCAGGAGATCATGAACAGAAAACAAGAATGGGTGGGAAACTACTTACACTTGAAAAATGTCCAGAGAACACTGTCCATTCCAAGGCTGGTGCAGTAAGAAGGCTTTCAAGGCCAGGGAGGCCCTGGGAACCAGGAGATATGGGCACCACACAGGCTCTAGGAAACAAAGGGTTGACTTCCTTAAACAAGGCCTCAGGCTGTTCACGGACGAGCCGGCAGGGGACAGTGCAGACACTGCACAAGGGATCAGGCTCAGGGGGAGGCAGGCAGGGGAGAGCCCACAGGTCCCCACGGCGTCCCACCTGACAGGGCCTCCCCCTCTGCGTCCCATCTGATGGGAGCACCCCCACTGCGTCCCACATGCGCTTCAGAGTTCTTCTGCAAGCCCTCCCTTTCTGTACTTCTCTCTCCCGCAGGGACCTCAGGGCCCCCAACTGGGATCTATTGATTAACGAGTCCAGGATGTAGTGTGCTACAGACCGCCTTGGGATCCTGGCAGCAGTCAACTACTCACAGAGAAACGTCAACTCTTTTGTCCTCAGAACACTAGCCTCAAAAGACTCAGGGCTCTATATTTAAGAGTTAACTTGAATTACTTCTGCATCTGGGGCCCTGGTGGCCCAGTGAGCTTGACTGGGCTCTAACAAGGTCAGTAGTTCAAAACCACCAGCCACGCTGAAGCGGCGGTGGCATTCTCCCACAAAGATCTCGAGGGCCCAGGAGCAGTTCACCTCTGTCCTGTAAGGTCGATTCAATGGCAGTGAGCTTGGCGTGAACTTGAATGACCTCTGTGGTGTGCTATCAATTTGTTATAGTTAGGTTGAGTTGTTCCTTGTATGCAATTTTAGGGTCCCTTGTATTTATATTTTTGAATTCTTACATTTAAAAAAAGCAAGCTCAGAGAAGTTCCTTCCTATCCCCATACCCGCCCCCTTCCTATCCATTTCCTATTAATAACAAGTGACTAGTTTCTGGAATATTCTGGTGTGTATGTTTTGGTAAAATAAACACACACATTTGCGCATGGCTTATGTATTATATTTGTGTGTCCTCCTACCACACTATGATACACAGGGACTATTACACATGTTCCACTTACACATGGTTCCTGGAAGTCAGCCCCTAGGACTGCACAGGGATCTCTCCTCTGCAGGGACAGAGGGCTCTGCACCATGCACGTGGTGAACCTTCGCCTCGGGTTGGTGCTGACAGCTTCAGGCACATGTTGGTCATGGGAATGAGGAATACCAGGTGAGGCCATTGGGTTCAAAATAAAATGCTCTGCAGTTTGGGTCAATGTAGCATATTCCTTCTTCCAGGCTGTCCCAGAGCAAAGGAGCACAGTCCCTGCTTCCTCTCAGCTGCCGACACAACTGAATTTTGTATTTTCCTAATCACAAATAAAGCATCTTGTCATATGATGTTGAAGGGTGGTTGTGTGTTTTCCCTAGAGATGCCCAGTTTTCCGCTTGTATATGACGTTGCTGGTGATATATTTTGCTGTGGAAAGCATTTTTCTCTGAAAGTTCACTCAATAATTTAGCTCTGCTTATAATCCACTGGGATTTTTAGTCCTCACACACAGGCTGTTGGGGAAGCACGTGTTTGGAAAGAATGAGAGCCAATGAGCACTAGAACCTGGGGTGGGTCACAGTCCAAGACGGAGGACATTAGAGCCATCGAGAGCTGTGTGCCCTGGCCATGCATGAGCCAGAAGATCTGCTGCAGAACTCTGCCACTCGGGACATGGCGTGGGGTGACTTCAAAGGACCGACGGTGGGAAAGCTGCACAGAGCACCATCCGAAGACCAGCAGCTCTCCCAGGCCAGCATCCCGGCCTCTAGTGAGCGCTCTGGCTCCCCTACCCACTGCTCTGCACACTGACAACCCTCCCAGCAGAGGGTCAGACTCCACTGACTGACAGCACCCCGCACGACAGAGCAGGCTGGGATCTACAGAAGCGGACCACCCCATCTTTCTTCTGGTGAACAGCTGGGGGGTTCCAACCGGGGACCCTCTGGTTAGCAGCCGAGCACTGTGAGCACTCCACCACCAGGACCCGGGTGCTTAGAAAGCCGGAGCTGGAGAATGCCTGGCACCTGCAGTCACGAGGGCAGGGTCGTGGGTCTCGGTGAGAGCAACACTCCCACCCTCTGAGGACGCAATTTTCTTGAACTCAAGGGTCAGCAGCCGCGGCTGACAGGAAACGGAAGCTGGGGCTCCCTACCGATCCACTCCTGCTCGTCCATCCGGGAGCTCGTGGACTTGAGGGACATCTCCAGGACTCGGATGCACCCGTCGTCCGACGCCAGGATCACTTTGTCCGACGTGCACCAGTCCACGTCCAGGATCCGGAAGGTCACGTTCCTGCCACTTCGTAAGCTGCTCACCATCTGGACCTGCAAGAGTCGACCTTGAGGTCAGAGGCGCCGAGAAGGGGACATTGGTTGTCACTCTGAACCCAAAGGTCCCCACCATAGGGAGCCCAGAGAAGCAAGCTGGGTGCTGAGTGCCCTATACTACGGGAACACCAGGGGAACAAAAACTTGTCCTCAGAGACTTAGCCAACCCATGACAGTCTTCACTTCTGAACCAGGAGGACTTGGCAGCAGCAGCCCAGGTGGGCAGCGCTCCAGCCACCTCACTCTCGGGAGCCTACCTCCTTAGTGTCCCACACTTCCACTCCATCGTTGTACATGGTGATTAGCTTCTGGTTTCCTTTCCCTGGGGCGAAGCGGATCTTCCGCACCCAGCTCCGGTGGGTGGGGATCCCCCTGAGGACAGAGCAGAAGACGGACTGAGCCTCACCTCTGCTCTTTCCAGGCCTGACTCGGGGGAACCACAGGACTTTCTGGGGCAGGTACATCCGACAGAAAGCGCTGTCCTTCAGCTGTCCCAGTCAGTCCTTCATCCTGTCCCAGCTCTGGGGTCCCTGCAGCTCCATCTCCTAAGACTCCCCGGGGCGTGGCTCAAGGCCCTTCCTCTCAAGGGACCCGAAGGGCCCAGCTACACTTGGACACCCGATTGATTCGGCCAGTTAGTCACCGGCGCCAAGAGAACCACACTTAGAAAAGGTAAAGTGTTTGCTTTTTTCCCCTCTCTTAACCAAGTAACAAAGTGCCACCATGGCTCGTACCTGGATACTCTGCCTTTTAAATCCCAGAAATTTAAATTTCCATCCATGTCGCCAAGCACTAATGTGTCCCCTTTCCACGCGATGCAGGTGATGCTGCCCATGCTGCCCTAGAAAAAGGACACCCCACACACATGCGTCACTACTGCAGCCGTACTGACCGGGGGACTGCCCAGTGTGGCGGCAAGGAGTCAGACCGACACAATAGTGGCGGCCTTGTTTCTGTCTCCGGCAGGCCAGAGATGGACGTATCCTGACCAGCTAGAGACGGGACGTCAGAGGCTGTGGTGTGACCCTCGCCCTGAGCACCTACAGTCCACACACTTAACTTGGCTCTTTTCAAAAACTGGGGTCTCAAAAATGAGGAGGTGGACTCTGATGGACCATTTCAACATCCCCGTCTCCCACGCGAAGGGCACAAAAGCAGAGAGCTCACCATCTGTGTGTCGCCCCTTTCTGAAGTCCCCTCCTATCATTTGTTTCCGGCAATGGGAAGAGAGAAAGTTTTTAAAAAAGGACTTTGCAGGGTGTCTGGGGGAATGCCGTCAGTTCCACGGCTGTGCATGAGCAGAGCCAGCTGTGGCCCATGGGGGACTGCCTTTCCGGGCACTCGCCCAGCCGTCAGCTGCCACCAGTGAGGAGGGCGCTGTGCAGGCCGGCCTGCAGCTCCTGCTGCTTCCTTCTCGCTCCCACTGGGACACGGGCCCTGGATGGCGAGGCCCCAGTGTGGAAGTGCCACTCCACTACCAACCGTGTGCAGGAGCCACCTCGGAAGGGGACCCTCCTGGCCCGTTTAACTGCAAGTACCTGCAGCCCCGCCAGCATGAGGACTGGGGCCTCGTAAAATAAGCAGCCGTCTGTAGACTACTTTAAATATAACATGATGGCATCAACGTATAGTTTACTTCATTCCATCACCTCATGCTGACACTCAGCCAGTTTGCACTGCGTCAATAAAAGTTGTTAATAAAAACCGCATGAGAGATGCATGCTGACAAACAACTCAAGAAGCTGAGCTCAAGGACTCCCCGGGCCATGGAAACCAGAAGAGACACTGGTAGACGTGGACACCACTGCACTTACAAACTGACCACTGTGGCCCAAAATACTAGACGGTCAGTCCAACGCTCAGATGCGGCCAGACAGGAAGGGTTCTACCATGTGGCCGGGCCAGGGGACCATGGGAAAGGCACTTATCCTCCCTGAGTTCAGCGGGGGAAACAGAGACCCCTGAGGGATGGCTGTGGGGATGAAAAGCAAGAGCGAACGATCAGAGCCGTGAGGACAACTGTTCTTGGCCCCTATGGTGTACGCATGATCTTTGGAAGTGACCTCTCCCAAGGAGAGCAGCTTACTGACACTGAGCTCTTCCAAAAGAGCTTCCCACCCCGCACTCCGGCTCCCTGGGTATGGAGGGCTGCACTCACATCTGGCGGGATCCGGGCGCTGTCCTTCACCGAGTTGCCCTCCACGGTGAGGTGGTACACCTGCCCGTCGCTGTCCGTGAACACAAAATGCTCCCGGGCTGAGATGTGCTGACTGAGCTCGGCCTTGCTCTCCGCTTCCTGCAGCAAGCTTTGGAACAGGGAAGAGGAAGCTACAGGCATGTCTTGTCTTTAAAATGACACCTACACCGAACTGACTCAATCAATTCATAGGTGGCCCTAAACCATTACAATAAATAAATAATAAACTGAAATGAATCTCTGTCCAATAATGGGAAAACACAAATCCTTCCCCAAACAGTCAGAGGCTAGAAGACGATATCCCTAGCCCCGGGGTTTAGGGGGTATGGTGATCTACAGTGAACTCCAGGGAGAGGCCCTGCTGCAGACCCGCCTGGCCCCTCCCCACCTTCCTCTTGGACACTTGTCCCTTGGAGAACTAACTGGTGGGTGTGGGGACGGGGCTTCAGTTTACGATGGCCATTGTCTTTGGTGCCCACAAAGGGTCCGATGGTCCATGTGTTTCCATTCCCTTTGTGTGCAGTGAAGAGGCTGAAGCTTCAGCACAGAAGGGCGCCACGGACAGGTGTCCTCCTACCGAGTGCTGGCACTGTGGACAGGCCTGCACACGTTCCCCTGGGCATCTTGTCCCCCACCCAGCAAGAGAAGCAGCTTCTAGGTCATCTGGGCAGACACCCAACCACACAGCACAGAAAGGGTGAAAGCTGATGCCAGCCGATGGCACCTGTCAGCCGCCAACCGTAACAAATGACAGGGCGGGGACAGCGTGCCAGACCTGATCACAGACGACTCCACTATGCTCAGCTCGGCATCCGAGACCACCGTCTGGCGGGCCATGGCCTCTCGGGTGGCCAGCTGCTTCTTTCTCAGGCTCTTGAGGTTGTGAGACGGTGACCACTCCTGTGTGGAAGACAAGGTCGAGGCAGCAGCCAGGTCTCTGCAGTCTCCCAGCCTCCCTCCAGAGGCTGCACCTGCTCACGCTGCCTGGGGGCTCACCACTACCTACCGCACAGGAAGCCAGCGGCTCCTTCAGAACCGGCCCTGCTTACAGGTGGGCTCACCTACTCCACCTCAGAGCTCCAGGCAGCAGAGTTTAATCATACACACGTTGAATGGCAAACTTGGGAAAGGTCTAACCTTTTGATGCTTATGCACAAACTGAAATTCATAAACTTAATTATACTATGTCTGATTGGGTCCCCTCTGGGTAAGCCTCCCCACATCTCTGCCTCCCCTTAGGATTCAGGGTTACACAATCATGCTCTCCAAATCGGTGTCCGTTATCGTGTACCGGTCCACAAAATAACCTCTCTAGCGTTACTTATTCCCTTACCTTACCCCTAATTGTAACACATTTAATCCAGTATCTTCTCATAGGCACATGTTCTTTTTTAATGTGAAATGACTGCACTCGATGGCCGTGGCTTTCTGGTTTTTAGTTTCCTCAGCAGAGAATACTCAGATTGCCTCCTAACCCCCCTCCTGACAAGGTAATGCTACTGACGATGCCCTCCTAAGTGGCCCTGAGGAGCAGGAGCTGAATGGCTAGGGCACAGAGGAAGCCTGTGTCTGCCCACGCACGGCTGTTTGCTCCCAGTATGTCTGCACTGGCTGGCATGCTTTCCTGCAGTGCACCAGGATTCTGCCAACCTGCAATCACCGCCGGTGGGCCTCACAAGTGTCTCCTGCACGTCGCCCCTGGCACACACCTAAAACCTAAAACTCTCAAGTACTCATTGCCCTTTGCGGTTTCCCTTCTGGGTGCCCATCTCTTCAAGACTGGTTTGTAGGCGTTCCCTTCCTACAAATCCCCTCGGCTAGGCTGGTGGGGTAAAAACAAAGTCTTCTAGTCGCTTGGACAGTTGAAAGCATTCATCGAGAGGTGATCAAATTCCCCCCAACTCCCTTTTGATTTGGATTGCTGATGTCCTCTCCTGCCAGGTCACAAAAGTCTCCCTATTTTATCCTGTTAATTGTACGGTTTCACATTCTCCCACGCAGGTGTGCAACCTTGGAGGCAACCTCTGTTGCACAGGTACTAAAGAGGAAGCCAGCACTTTTCTCCCATCTCACGGCCATCCTGTCGATGCTGATCCAGAGACCCCTGCGACAGGGCAGAACTGCCCCTGGGAGTGTCTGAGCCTGTAACTTTACAAGGGCAGAAAATCCCATCTTTCCCTCAGAGTGGCTGGTTTCTAACTACTGACCTTCCGGATGGAAGCCCAACAAGTAACCACCACACTGTTTCCAGGACTGTGTGGGCAGCAATCTCTCCTCCCCCGGGAGCTGAGTATCACTTTATCAGCTGTTACACTCCCAGGTGCTCATGGGTCAGGGTCTGAGCTCTTTGTGTTTGTCCAGGTAAGCTTGCATGGCAATCCAACACTGATTTTTTAATTATGCTTCTATAATATGTACTATTATCTGGTAGGGTAGACCTCAGCCCCACCCCTTGTATTTCTCCCCCTTAAAGGTTGACAAAGCTACTCAATGAACATTTTTCACAGTCAACAAAACATCCCAATACAGGGGAAGACAGATGAAATCCAGGTGGGGGGGGTGCACAAATGTAACTCTTAGGTCAGCTCATCCAAGGAAAAAAGACCTGCATTTATCTACATCATTTCCCGGGAAAACACGTGGCAGTAATGATTTCAAGTCAAACTCAAGAAAAACATGTACCACAGATGGGGAGGAATTCCATGATGTCTCATGGCATTTCTCCGTGAGCTCGTGCAGCCCCTCATAGACATACCAAAGCCAGGTCTTAAATGGGAACTTACCAGCGCGGTTATTGCAGGGAAGTTTTTGGACATTTCTCTGAGGAGGGTACACGTCCGAACATCCCATAGCTCCAGGGGTTTATCTTTGAAGACAACTGCCAAATACTGCCTAAAATGAACAAAAGAACTAAAATAAGGCCATTTTGCAACCTTTTCACCCGGTCACCATCTCTGAGAACCTGAGGATGCATTCTCACCGTAAGCCTTGTGGCCACCAGTGAGCTCCCACAGCAGAGTGAGGGCCACTGGGGGCACGCACACCTGACGTGATCAGGGGGCGCCTCGGTCAGAAGAACAAGAGCTAAGCTCAGATGCTGGCACCAGAGTCCTCTCACATGCGACACACGAGCGTTAACGCCACTGCCACTTATCTCAACGAACTGATAGGAAGCTTGTGGCAGAATCAAAATCACTGTGCGCACTCCCTGTCAAGCCTGGAAGAACGACTGCGTGGAGGAGTCTGTGAATACAATTCGACAACCATCAACCGGACCTGGATTACACACAGCTACTGCAGAAAACTAAGAAATCCTCCACAGATATCCCTGGCACAAAAGACGTATGACAGAACAGGAGCATCTTCAAAAAAGATTTACCAAAAACTCTCAATATTATGACATTAAACCTATGAATATCCCGGGGAATAGTTAACTACATAATGAAGGTGAATTAAAATGAAAACACATTATCAAAATATATTTGTAAGCTTCAACCTTAAGGAACTAGAACAGAGTTCATTAAACAAAAAGGCTAAAAGGAAGCAGAAAGAAAAATTAAAACCTCTAAAATAAGTAAATAAAAAGCAGTCTCTTTCAAAAGATTAATAAAATTGGCCAACAGAATTTATTGATATCAGGAGTGGAAGAGACATCACTAGAGCTTATACAGACCTTAGAAGGGCAGTACGCGATAACACGAACTTACACCAAAGAATCTGACCATTTTAATAAGACGGACAAGTTCCTTGAGAGAGAACTACTAAAGCTCACAGCAAAACACAAGCAAACCAACATAATCCCGAACAGTCTTACGTGTGAGTGAAACAACTCCATTTGAAAACGTTCTACTAATTCTAAGCTCAGAAGGTTTTGTTGGTCAATTCTTCATCCTTAAAGGAGAAGTGCTATCAATTCTACACAGACAGACCAAGAGCAAAGGAGGGACTATTACATCCTGTAGGACCAGCGTCACTTGATACTAACCCAGACATGCCAAGGACATGAAAAGTAGTTCAACACTTCTCTTTCGTAAGTAGAGATGCAAAAATCCTTCAGAAAATATTAGCAAATTAAATCCAGCAATACATCAAAAGAACAATATAACTTGACCAAGCCGGGTTTATTCTAGAAATGCAAAGCTGGTTTCCAATATTTAAAAATCAATGTGATGCAATATAATATCAAACTTCAGAACAGAAGGAAAAAAACAAACATATCATTTTTATAATCACGGGAAAACCATTTGACAAAGTTTAATGCCTACTCGTGAGGCAAATTCTCAGTAAACTGTCAGTAGCAGACAATGCCCTTGATCTAACAAAAGGCATCAATAAAAAACCTACAGTTGACATTACGGAAGGGCTGAGGGTTTTCTCCCTAAGATGCAGGAATAGACACCAGCTCTCACCATGTTTACTCCGTACTGGGGGCCTGGCAGTGTAGTAACATAAGAAAACAAGCATATACATTGGAAAACGTCCCTGATTTGCAGACAACACGATCATCTACATAGACTATCCCAACACCAAAGAATAAAAAATACAAACTCTGTAAGGACCAAAGGTCACAAGCTACAAATCAATTTTAAAAACAATTGTATTTCAACATCTAAGAAACAAATAGCTAGAAAGTAAAACGTAAAAAAAAAGATGCATAAGACTCAAACACTGAAAATGATAAACTACTGCTTAGAAACTGAATATCTAATTAAGTGACGAGATACACCATGTATATGAACAGCAAGACTCAATATTGCTTATGATGTTAATTCTTTTTCCAATCATCTATGGAGTCAATGGAATTGCAGGAGGCTTGTTTCTGATAAAAACTGACTAAGTAATTCTGACATTTAGATGGGGAGGCAAAGAGCCTAGAGAAACCAAAACAATTTTGAAAACTTTTGGGAGGTAGTGACTTACACTTAGTTTTTATTCTTAGTAATTCTACTTTTCCTGTATTTTCCCTTGGACCATAAACACTAGAAAAATTACTAAAAGTAAATGATTGTAAATTATAATTTAAGAAAATTAGTTCTTTCCATAAACCCATGCTGTGGTGGGAATGTCCGAGCAATTTCATCAGATGGTAAATAATATTTTCATTGGGGGCGATATGCATTTATGTTAGTTCAGTCCTAGTGGATCAAACTGGGTCACTGGTGTTAAATTGATGATGTAGCCATTGGACAATTATGCTTGATGTAACTGAATTATGAACTGTTATAATATCTCTAAGAGCTCCCAATACAATTATTTGAAAAAAAGGAAATGCTCTGGATCATTCATATGAAAGTCCCTTGGTTTCTTCAGTAGTGCAGAATTGAAAGTGGGAGCAACTTCGCTTTGGGATCAAAGTAGTTCATTTGACATGGCTACCCATCACCATTTTGATCAAAGAGAAATTCACATGCATGGTAACACACTCCCACTAAAGATAATGAACCCAAGAGATACTTTTTTATGTTGACACTTACTTCAAATGAGACACTTTAATCATTTCGATGGGTGGCTCATCATTTCCTCGGTCACCGCGAAAAGCAATGCTTCTACCTTTAATTGTAAACATCAAGGAAGGTGAAATGCACATCAAACATTTAGGAAATAAGAAATGATACCACTGTGATATGATCAATAGCTGAGCCCTGTGGGCTCCCATTTGCTCTTTCTTTGCTTCTTAGCGGTTTCTAGTAATAACAATTCAAGAGTGCCCAAAAAAGTATTACAAGTTAATGATCAACAAATAATATACTTATACTTGAGTATTTTTAAAAATAATTTTATTGGGGGCTTACTTAAGTATTTTTAAAAGGGTATTTCTATCTATCAAGAGTTTCTTGAAATCATTCTGTGGTTTCTTTCAAATAACTCAACTGCAGCCCACTAGTATCAATTATAACATTGTAAACCACGGTAAAGCAATTGTCTACTGTAAAACCACTTGTTTTTAAGTAATAAAAAACATTTCCATGCTTACAATAATGGACCAGTGAGGGGAAATATCCTTCAAAAAAGGATTTATGATTTAAAACTGGAGAGTGTGAGTACATGCTCAAGCGGCTGTAAAAGAACTTGAGTTTGTTGTGAAAGCATCAAAATGGTCTTCTGTAAATTTAAAAAAGCAAAAGGGAAAAGCTACCTATTTCGGAACTGTTATCATCAGACTGCGTTGCCTCAGGCCCTTAGAGAGAACACCCTGCCTTCAAACACGACTCAGGGCTTGAAGGCTCCGGGCCTCCGGCCGCCATGCTGTGGCCTGCTACACCACACATCCTGCCTACCAGCGGCTGGCAGCCCTTCCCAACGCTCCACATTGGCTTCCGGCCTCGGAAAGCAAGGCCATGTGTCTGTGCACAGACTCAACTGCTCCTTGGAGAGAAGTGAGTGACAGATCGAGAACTCTGTCCCACAAAGAGCAAGCTGTTCAAGACAGGCTTTAACTTGTCTCCAACATCCCCAGGTATAAGCTGACTGGGAAAAACACGCAGGCCTTTGGCTCTTGTTTCCAGTGGATGACACCTGACAAAATAGCACCACAGCCCTGGAGCACTACGTCACCAGAGAGGAAGCCATGGTCAGCTTGTAGCAAGCCAGGGGTCTGTCTGCAGGTCAGTGTCACCGGGGAGGTCATGTTCAAAGTGAATTGGGGGGGGAGGGGGCGCGGCGAGACACTGACCTAAGGCAAGTTGAGGGCAACTCCTGTCTAAGAACAGCATTAACTACGAGACTGTGAGGAAGCCATCATATGTATAATTTATGCAGATGAAGAACATGCATATAGCTGTGAGCCAAAATCATCTCTAGAGACTGATACCGCTATACCATTTTAAAGAAATTTGCCATAATTTTGTTTAAAAACCTAGTTAGCATCACTCCCTGGCTATCCAAGAACTAGAAACTCTCATCATGCTCTATTTTCAAGTTATCTATTTTGAAATTCATTGGTGTCTGGGTTTGCAACCATCCTGAACAAATAACTTCGCTGAAATGCTTCCTACGGTACTGTTTTCAAGCTCTGAACTTATGTTTCCCACTCAAACAAGGAACAATCACGTGTTTAAAATTTGGGGCATTTCAAAATAATCCTATGCCTTTAAAAGCTTCAAAAGGTTCCTATAGTCAAAACATTGAAGAGATGCTAACAACGTCCAAACACAGGTGATGGAAACACTGGACCTTCTGGATAGGCGCGACAACACGCTGCAAAGGAGAAATGGCTTTGTTTCTAACAATCAATCAGTTTAGACTGAGGCTGTTCCATTTTCTCATGCACTTGTGTGAGCAAAGGTGCCACACAAACAGGGACAAAACTTTTTTCAGGACAAGTATTAGAGAATAGAAACCACAAAGCCAAACTGGGTACCATCAAGTCATGCTGACTCACAGCCACCCTACAGACAGAGTAGAACTGTCCCTGTGGGTTCCCACATGGTACTCCTTACACGAGCAGAAAGCCCCACCTTTCTCCCAGAGAGCGGCTGCTACTTTTGAACTACTGACCTTGCAGTTAGCAGCCCAACATGCACCCACTGCACCACCAGGATTCCATCAACCAGAGAAACTAACTGATCAATCTTTGCACAGGCTAAGCGTACAGACCTGTTGGGAGATCAACCAGCTGAAGTTCATTTCTCACCAGCCCCAGGTTGTTCGGTGTTGAGGTAGCAAAAGAAAGAAAGCCAGTCAAGCTTGTCCATTCGATACCTCTGTAGCAAGAAATTTTAAAAAGGATTACTCGACTTCTGTCTGAAAATGATGCTTGTAAAATCATTTGTTTCCTAAGACCTACATTCCAATGGCAGAAAGGCGATTAAGCAGTAACATTAGCGTGATCCTTCACCAAGGCGCGGTTGTTGCCATGTGGCTGGCTGATGCTTGAGGGAGCACCCTGCGAGCCTGGAGGACAGACGAACGCTGCCCCATCTCTAGGGTTCCCAGGCTGAGACCCACACCGAGCAGGTCGCCAGGTCTTTCCTCCTGCGGGGTCGGCTCGTGGGTTTCCAAATGCTGATCTTGTCAGTTAGCAGCTGAGCACACTGCAACACCAGGGACCACAGCAGGATCAAGACCCTACAGATGTGCAGTTACTTTACCGAAAAGGTTTATCTCCAAACATAGTAGCAAGAGTTTCGCTCTCAGGGTTCACAGCAGCATTACAATAACTATTAAAATCTGCCCAGGGAGAGGGTCGTAGTGTTTTCCAAGAATTGTGACCACTTAACAAAACCAAGTCACGTAGCAATATTCTGAGCAAACTGCTTAAAGCTGGGTGCATTTTAAATAAATTTCTAGTTGACTGAGTAGAAAGCAGAAATCAAGAGTATGGACTGTTAGATTTGGAAATAAGATGAAATTATCACTGGCCTATCAATTGGGGAAACGCACAAACGTAACACTTAGACACACACACATGACAAGGCAGCAATCTTCAACCTGCTGCCCAGTCTTCAATCTGTGGGGCTCAGCTTAGGTGAAAGGAGCCCTGGCGACATAGTGGATTATTGTTGGACTGCTAACCAAAAGGTTAGCAGTTTGAAACCACGAGCCCCTTCGGCAAAAGAAAGATGAAGCTGTCTGTTCCCATGGTGACCGAGAGCCTTACAAACCCACAGGGTAGTGCTACCCTGTTCTGCAGGGTCATTAAAAGTCAGCATGGACTCTAGGGCAGAGAGGGACTCCACCGCTCCCCGCTAACCAACCTGGAGAGCCAATCCCAGCACAGCTTGCAGAAGATAGGAAGCAGAAAGTGGACCACCACAGGGGCCACCACTGCGAACACATCAGAACCATGAGGAGGAAGGAGGTGCTTTGCTCACAGGATAATAGGGGTGGGCTGGGCGGCAAGTGCCTTTTCAAACCTCTGCTTGTCGGCTTTTACTAGACAAAACATTGTAAAAACCACACAGTGAGGCAGCTCTTTTGAGGCACTATGACAAACTGTGTGGTGTGTAAGGCCTCGAATACTGGCCATCTAACTCGGTCCAGAAAATGCTGGGCCCTGAGCTAGCCTACGCACTCGTACTACAAGGGTGGCTAAAGCCCGAAACACAGACACCGCCAGACGCGGGCGAGGGCCTGGAGCTCCAGGAACGCCCAGCCACGGTGGGTGGGAATGCAAAGTGGTGCGCCACTTTGGGAGCGGTCTGTAGACAGGCGTGCCCTGGGACCCGGCAGTCCTGATCCCACACGACATGGGAAAGCACAGCCACATGAAAATCTGCGTCTGTCTGCAGCTGCTTCCTTCATGACTGCCCAAACTGGAAGCAACCAAGTGCCCTTCACCAGGCACACGGAGAGAAACAAACTGTGGCGCCTCCATCGGAGGCGGGACCCAGTGATGAAAATAAAGGCGAAAAGACACACAAGAACCCAGGTGGGCACGCTGACGAGAAAACACAACCGCTGTGAGTCCGGACGGCAGTAAGAGGGAGAGGGCATGCAAACAGGTGGCGCCTAAGGCATTTTCAGGGCAGCAAAATGATACGGGTGGGTATGTGACATGGGGCATTTGGCAAAACCCCTGACCATACAACACCAAGAGGGCACTCTCAAGTAAGGCACAGAGGACAGAAGATGACCCTAATTATAACTGTCAAAAGGCCCTGGTGAACTATGGGAAATGGAAAAAATTTCCATATAGATATGACGCTGTAATCCAGAAAGTCAGCCCTGAGCCCGGCGAGACATTGCTCCGGAGCAGATACGAACTGACAGGGAAACAGCCAGATAAAAGGCACACCTCACCCACTGAGCCTTGCCTCCTAGCCCCCCACAGCACACAGCGGCCAGGCCTCAAAACGAGAGAGCAGGGCTAGGCAGCCTGGGTCTTTCCTGACGATGAGAAAGGCACAAGACTGCATCTGTCATGAGCAGCCCTACCACGGGCCCCGCATGGACCTGAGAGCAAACAGAACTGGAACCAAGGGCAGAGACAGCATGGACCATCGGAGTTGAATAAGCAGATGCAGAAACAGACCAGCCAGCGTTCACCCTGACATAATGGCCTCACAGAGCCAGTAATCTGGACTCATCCTGAATTAGTGTCTCTAGTTGTAGGACGAGAATATTCATTATTCAAGGTTACCTGTCCAGTTACCGGACAGCTCTCAAGACAGAGGGTGCCACCAAGTGTCCGACGCAGAGAGCGAGTCTGGGAGCGAGTCGGCACTCGTTGCGTCTGCCCTCTCAGCTGAGGGCAAGAGAAGGCACTCACCTGACTTCACACGAGTGGACACTCAGCTCCTTGTGCAGCAGTCCGCTTGTCAGGTGGTACACCAGCACAGAGCCGCTGCCGGTGCCTGTAGGGACAATGCAACAGGAGCACATCAGCTGTGCGGCTGCTCCAGAGTTTCCCACAGCAGCCGCTCCTCCAGATCTGAGTTGCCAGATAGATGTACCCTTCATCAAAGGCCGAATCTCCAGATGCCCCCTTTCTCTGCAGAGGCCATGTGTCTGGCTCTCTCTGGCACGGAACCAACCACAAGGATAAAGGAAAGCAGGGTAGATGGTAGACTTCAGAGTGAGGACGCCTGCGTCCACCCTGGCTTGGCCCTGCTCTAGAGGGTAAGTTGTTTGGTACAACTCATTCTACTTCTGAGTCTTTAAGGTGGAAAGACTGCCTTAACATCTACTTACTGGAGATTAGATCGGGGCACAGGTGTTGCTCTCAGGGCAGCACCCGGCACGCAGGCGCAGGTGTCCATTAGGCATTCTCATGGTGAAGGGTCTTGGGCGCTGTGCCTACCTTTGAATTAAAAGGGCCATGGGCATACTTGAAAAGACAACGCCTCAATCCTTCAAGATATCCTTGAAAGTGAAGAGAGTTGAGGGGGATACTTGTTTGTGCGGTATTTCCTCATTGCAGATAATGGGAAATGAGGAATGGATTCAGGCAGCACACAGGCTGGAAGCAAGCCACCAGGCAAATCTCTATGCTAGCACACTCCTGGAGGCATCCCCGGAACACGCAGGCAAAACATGTCAGAAAAAAAAATCACAGGACTGCCCTAGCTGAGGTTTCTCGTCTCCCCCACCACGGATGAATTTTGTCTCACAATCTAGTGGCCAGAAGGCGTACTGTGAGTGACTTTGTGACAGTGAGACCAGGCCCAAGTCCCCAAGGGCCACACCACGGACACGTGATGTCCGAGCTGAACTCGGCTGCTCTCCCTGAACGACTCTGCAAGCACACACGCAAAGCCCCGTCTCCCGCCGTCCACCGTGGGTGCAAGTCTCTAAGTTCAAGATGCAGCAGGATAGTCCCCACACACCGCGTGTCCGGTGATGCCTGGTTAGGCCCCTGGCTGCTAACAGAAGGTTGGTGGTCCAACTGACCCGGAGGCTCCGGGAGGAAGGCCTGGTGACCTGTTCCCAGAAAGGCGCTAGCTCAGTACGCCCGGGGTGCTGCTGAGTGAGAATCAAATTAAGGACAAGGAACGACAACAGAGGGCTGGTTCTACAGTGGCGTCTCAGAACCTGACAACACTCACTCGTTTCCCCCAAAAAACGAGACGTCGATAAATCTTAACCGATAACCTAAGAAGTTCACTATGAGGCCACCGGGGCTCAAGAAAAAACTGCAGATGTATTTACATGAACGTGGGCCCAGGAGCCACTGAGCCTTGAAATTCAGATCGATTCCCAAAGAGGGCGGTAGGGAAACAAAGAGCAGAGCCTCCTAACACCCAAGGAGTCTGAAGTGCTCAGTGGGCAGCCACCAAGCCAACAGAGCTATGTCAGCCACAAAATAAACGTGGCTGGCCTTTCATTTTTTTCTCCAGAGAGAGGGAATGAGAGAGAGCAAGAGAGAAGACATAAGTCATATGAAATAGACTGTTCTTCAGAATGCTGGAGAATGTGTTTTAATCTGAGGTTTGACTTCACTATGAAAATGTGGTAGCAAGTGGAAATCGAGACTAATTTTTCTATCTACAGTATGAAAAATAAATCAATGTCTTAGTTTATAGAGACTATCGCCACTTGGAAGCATGTTGAAGACACAATTCTTCAGGAGGAAGAGCAGCGCTCCTGCGGAGTCCTTAACTTTGAGGACATCATTTGTTCAGAGACCCCGTGCCAACTGACTGGCACAGGAGTGCCTAGGGTGGTCCCAGCCAAAGCCAGGTCTAGGGCTCAGCTACCTACAGGGCATCCTGCTGACACTTCAGACAGAGACAGGGTCTGGGACACCTTCCTCCAGCCTAGGGTGGACAAGAGAGTGACCAGTACGATTGAGAAAAATCCGTGAGTAGGTTAAGAGTACACACACACACACACACACACACACACACACACAGAGAGAGAGAGAAATGCTATTTAAAGAATAGTATTTTGGACGTAACCCTTTCTCCTCTTCAAGTATTCTCAAAGGGAATAAATGATTTTCCAGTAACTCTAAAATAAACACACAAAAACCCCACCATGACCACGGAGCTGATTCTGAATCACACCAGCGCCAACCTAAGTGGCAGCAAGGAAATGCGTGCTGTGGGGTTTTCGTTAAGGAAACAAACACACTGCTGACCTCTCTTCCCTGGCACTGCCCAATGTCCTAGGACACAGGCAGCCTTAACAACTCGAGACCTGCAGGATGGAGACGAGGGCAGGTGGGACACTCACCCACAGCGAGCAGGGGCTGGTACATCTTGATGTTCTTTGTGGTCAGAGGCGGGCACATACGGACAGCAAGCGGAGGGGAAGGCAGCGCAGACAGCAGGCCCGTGAGCAGAAATCGGAGGTGCACTTCCTGGGGGATGGGGCCTTTGGGATGGTCTTCTCCAGCAATGGCGCTCTGTCCTGGTTTGCAAGAACAAGCACAGTATACCAGTGAGAGCGCGGGCTGACCCTAAACATCGAAAGGAACTTTCCAGGGGAGGTACTCTGCAGGCGCTGCAAAGATGTGGGAGGGGCTGTAGCTGCCAGGGTGGCGTTGGCTCTGGTCCTGGCAATGGGATTGCAGCCACATCTTCTAACACCTTGCAGATGGCTCACCCAGAGAGGGGCTCTCTGGACTTCAGGGACCTAGTCTGGCTCCCAGGTAAGAGTGGTTCAACCACAGCTCCTGGTGGTAGGACACCAAGCACAGGCTTCAAACTAAGCAAGAGGCCTGGGGCAAGAGACGTTTCTGTGGAGCCGAGGCTGCCATGCCCTCGTCTTAGTGGCTTTCCAAGGGGACACTGTGCTAGCTGAGGGGCTGTGAAGGGATCTTGCTAACTTGGCAATTTTAAGCCTTGTAAGTAAATACTTTATATATAAACCAGGAAACACACTGTCACCACAGATCAATCAGCGGTGTTACTTTCAAATACACTGATCAAGCCCCCATCTAAAACAATGCAGTAAAAAGCACCAAAATACATTATGAAAACAGAACACAGCAAAATTAAGACTTGTTAACTAAAAAAGCATACCAACTGTCTTCCCACAAACCACTATCGATCACTGCGGTGAATTTGTCAAAATCCCACGCCAATATGTGTGAGCGTGTATAAAGGAGAGAGTTTCGAAGCTTCATGAAAATTGGAATTAGAAGGTAATTTTAAATCCGTGAACTTTTGAAGCTCCTTAAACATATATATATGTAACATCTATGCCAGGCGTCTTCAAACGATAGCCCACAGGCCACATGCAGCCCACTGAGGACATTTATCCAGACCGCAGGGTGGTTTTTGCCCCATTTGTTTTTTTAATTCAAGATAAGATATGTGCAGTGTGCACAGGAATTTGTTCACAGTTTTTTTTTAAACTATAGTCCGGCCCTCCAATGGGTCTGAGGGACAGTGAACTGCCCCCTGTTTAAAAAGTTTGAGGACCCCTGCTCTATGCTCTGAGGAGTCAGATGAAAATCCCTAAGGGCGGCTGATTGGATGAGACACAGCAGTCCCTGAGTTCATAGTGACCCAAGGTTCGCGGTGAACTGGAATCAACTCAATGGCAGTTGAGAGTCATTAACTTAACTCAATTTACGATCCCTTTAAGGTTAGCCATGTAGTTGACAGCAATCTTTCAGCTTAACTTCAGCAGCAGGAGCAGGATACAGGCATGGAAGTTAGCTCAGGTGCGTATGTTGGGTTTCAGCGCCACTGGCGGGGAGGTGACTTCTGGAAAGGGTCATGTTGTTCTCTGAGGTCTTCCAAAGGAGGCAGCTCACAGAGGGGGGCCCAGGAGGCATTATTATGCAGTAGCCTGTACCCCAGGAACATAACCTGGGGCTCTCAATTTAACCACCTGGCTTTCAATTATCACTATCCACAAAATGCATTTCCAATTGAAAGTTCAATTAAAGTGTTTTCATGTAACAGAGCTCTATTTATTTAATACTTTTAAATGGACTACCTTGTCAAGAACTGCTACCCAAGCTATACCTCTGTCTCTTAAAGAATGCCATTTATATCACTCTAATAAACCACTTCTTACAGACTGCACACTACTGATTAGTTCTGCACGTGCCTTTATAATTCTTTTCACTTTAGTCTTTTATATTCAGCATAGACAAGGTCAATTAACTCAGAAAATTGGGTTATCAATAGAATAAATTTTGCAAAACAAGGCTGAGTCTACGCTTCCTAGGGTGAATTTCCATCTGGAGGGCGGCGAGACGCGAGCAAATTCTAAGTTACAAGTACACCTCACAGAGTAAAAGGGTTCCACAGCAGGCAGGAATCATGAGTAAACTGAGGCCTGGGGAGGCCAGTCTTGCCCAGGACAGCAGTGGATGAGCTGGACCAGCAGTCACATCCCGGCTAAAGAGCCCAGGCTCCAGGCAGGATGGCGGGGTTCCCAGTTTGGCTCTTCCACAGATGGGCCGTATGATTGGGTGAACGTTATTTAATCTCTGGGCCTCAGTTTCCACATTATAAAGTGGAGACAATAATATTACCTGCCTTGCTGGACTGGTGAGGCTTGACTCGTACTTGCACTAGGAAGCACTCAACAAACGTCAACCTGGATGAAGACAGTGAGCAGGGCATGCCCTTTCTGGTATGTAGCTAAGAACAAAGCCTTCGAGAGAGTGTCCACTGTCAATTACACTACGGAAGAAGAATAGCGCAAACCATGACTTTAACAGGAACTCACAATTTGAAGAGAGCATTACACAGGAAAATTCCTCAGCATATTGACTCAGTTCAACATTACAATTTCAACTTGTATAATATTTGAAATCACACATCCTTATTCTGTCTGTAACACAAACTGGCCGTCGTAATAAAATGACTGAAACAATACTAGCAAATAAACATTTGCTGAAATAGGGCAATAAGGAAATGTATATGCAAAAGGGTCAAAATTGCTTTTCTCATATTGCTCAGTTACTTTCTTCCTTTCACAAGTATTTATTGAGCAGCTACATGGTGCCAGAACTAGGGCTTCATGCTGAGGGACACAAAGTTGAATACAACATCAACCCTGCCTGTGTGGACAAGGGCTGCCACACTGCCCACCAGTCAATCCTAACTTATGGCAGCCCTACAGACAGGGGAAACCTGCCCTGTGCATGTGTGTAACTCTTTACGGAGTAGGAAGCCCCATCGGCCTCCTGTGGAGCACGTGGTGGTTTCCAACTGCCGACCTTGCAGTTAGCAGCCCATGTAAACCACTACACCACCAGGGCCTCTCGATTACAAAACAGCTGGTAACTATTAGAGACCAAGGAGGAAGCTCTCAGTCAGGCTTGAGAGACCAGAGGACCCTGGGAGCTGCATTCTAATTAATTATGACAGCAGAGGGGAAGAGACGGGAGGAGAGAAGGCCAGGGCACTGAATTCCAGGCTGAGGGGCAGCAGGAGTCGGGCCCCGAGACGGCGTGCTGCACTCAGGATGCAGTGCCAGGGCCCCAAAGCCCCATTTCTGCTCTTCTGTTATGTCCTGGAGCCGCGCTCATCACTGGACATTCCACCCCTCTGACAACTACAATAATGCCAGTCCACGCTGCCCCAGGCACTTTCAGACCCAACTAGTTTATACGCCTCCGGTTTACATTTCACTTTCCTCTGAATACTCTATAAAAACGAGGTGCGCTGGGGCGCAGTAGGTGAAACACGGAACACTGGGCTGCTACCTGGAGGAGCAACAGCGCACACCCACCCACCAGCTGCTCCGGGGAGAAAGCCGAGACAGGTGTCGGCTACCCTGCAGACTGGCAGCACTGGAAACCCGTGCGACTCCGACACGGAGGGGCGCTGTGAATGAGCCTCGGACCCTACGGCTGCTCCTGCACTCTGGTTTTCTTCTAACTGGAAGTCTGGGCTCCTCCCCTTCAGACAGTGCAGCCAAGGAGCCCCAGTGGCGGAGCGGTTTCCGTGCCGAGCTGTAGCCACCCGGAGCAGATCCGACGCGAGCCAGAGGAAAAAGAAAGCGTGCTTACCAATCATGTCCTCCAGGGAAAGGTCTGGGAGTTTGTTCTGCTGCGCGCCTACAGGAATCCCACAGAAAGACACCGGGGAGTACAGGGGCGACACGCCAGAGCTGCTGCAGAGACAGATGACCAGAGGGTTTACAGACTCACACGCTGCAGTAAAGGCCAAGCCCCGAGTTTGGCTGCCTATCTACCTAGACAGCCCAGTGAAGTTCACCCCAAGGGAGAATAGCTTCCAAACAATTCTCTAATCACGTAAAGCTGTAGTCACGACGGAAAGGAAGTTACTTTCACCAGAATAAGTCCCTCTCCTGTTAAAGCTCACTCACCCGCTGCGGAGGCCTCGGTTACCAACGGCCGACTTCAGCTCCCAGATCATGACCCGCCCGTCGCTCACAACGAGGGCGGCCGCGTTCTCGTTGACCGGACAGCACACCATGCTGAACGGGCGGACGGTTTTGGTCACCCTGATGGCATCACACTGGCTGCGAAGGTCATAGGTCAGCTCCTGGACGGGCTCTGGATCTTAATGTAAGTGTTTTCTTTTAATATCAACACCACACACCTTTCTGCTGCCATTTTAACAGACCCACAACTGATAAAAACAAAAATCACTCTGTAACTTTCATGACAGCACAATCTGTCAGGCGTGGCTGGACTTTGTACGATGACGACTAAGTTCTTCAGACTCTGAGGGCCAAGAGCGTTCACCTGTTGACTGTGCACCCCACCTTCAGGCTCCCAGGGAACAGCTCTGATCAGGAGCTTGCTTGGCTGCTTCTCAAGTGAAGGTCGGGGTAGAGAAAGGACCAGGCAGCAGACGGTGACATGAAGAGCAGCACCCCAAGGCTGCCAGCCCCTGAGCGGTCTGTGGACCCCGACACAGGAGCAGCCCTCACCGAAGGTGCGGGAGCCGCTCTGCCCATAAAGAGAACGCCGTTCACAGACCGCATTCCTATCCTCCTGAGCGAGGCGAGGCCTGGGGGCTCCCTAACCCCAGTCACTCCGAGCAGAAGCCTCTGAAGCTCATGTGGCATTATAATATAGACTAGGTTGGTCTCATGCTGGAGTCATTTCCACCCCCCGACTCAAGCAGCTAAAAAATATTGCATTCTTTGTAATACAGGTTAAGCCCTGGTGACATAGTGCATTATTTATCCAGTGGGTACAAAGGTCAGCAGTTTGAACCCACCAGCGATGAAACCTTCTATTCCCAATCAAGACTTACAGTCTTAGAACCCCACAGGTATTTTTGTTTTTTGTTCTATGGACCAAATTCACGGTCATCGAGTCATTGAGTCAATTCCGACTCAGTGACCCCTGAGGCCAGGGCAGAACTGCCCCTGAGGGTTTCTGAGAATACTTTACAGGAACAGAAAGCCTCGCTGTTCCTCCTCGGAGCGGCTGGTGGTTTCACACTGCCCACCTTGAGGTTTAGTAGCTTAAGCATGGAAGCCATTACCCCCGCCCCCCCAGTGCTCCTTGTTATATAGGGGCACGGCGTTGTTAAGACCAAGAAATCAGGACCTGGGCTTATACATTTTTCATGTCTTTTACTGAAACATTTCTCACCCTTTCTCGAGGCAAGGATAACCCTTCAATCTGTGGACAGACTGGCATTTGTTCACCACACGGAGCTGTCAAGTAATTCCAAAGAAAAATGTGGAACGAAGAGCACTGTGAACTCACCCGGCTCCTCACTGGAAGTGCTGTAAATACTGGTATAGGATCGGCGCACACGTAAGGTGATACAGCCGTTTTCATGCAGGCAAAACAAACCGTCACGCTGAAAGCAGGGTATTACCTGCAAGACAGATGACAGGTTTACTCCTACAAGCGTATTAGATGGATGGGGTACCCATGCACAACAGCAGACACATCATTAGACGACACTGGGAAGCACACACGCACAGTAAGTACTATACAAACATTTCTTTAAAAATCTGTGGATTTCCCCAAAGGCTGTCTGTATTGATGTCATGGAAGCAGCTCCATGAGTCAGAAAAAATGTCGGGCACATCAAAGGGATCGAAGCACAGGGAAATGAGGGCTCACAGTCCCAGTGTAGGGACAGGGCACAGAGCTGGGCATTTGAAAGACTGTGGCTTTATCTTTAATGCCTAGCCCTTGGGACTGTCCCCTATCCACGTAGTACCTGAACAAATGGGACTCCTGTCCGTTCGATGGCGATGACCCCCACCGTCTGATTCACCTCCAGGTCCAGGATTAAAACCTCTCGGGGGTAGAGTAACAACATGTGGTTCCTCTTGGAAGGCAAGTAGGCCAGCTGAAGGCAATCGTTGAGTGCGACGAACTCAGGACTGGAGAAAGCAGACCCGCACCGAGGCCTCGTGAAATGAGCTTAGCGCAGTGGTTCCTAGTGAAAGGCCTAACCAAGCAGGTGATTTTGCACCTTCCACAGAAACAATCTGCCTTCTGAAAAGGCCAACATGAGCTAGCATCCAACCTGCCCAAATCCCAATGACGGCGAACTATTGCCTGTTTGGAGAACCAACTTCAGTGTTCTCTATTTCTGAAACGTTTACAGTGCAGCCAGTAAGGAGTCTGTCTGTGTGTGAAATGCTAAGTAACAAGCATGAGCATGTGCGTCACACTAAGAATTAACATACCTGGGCTTCTCTTGAGTGATTAAAATTTTCACTTTATTCAGTGCCTTCTTGGCACCGGTGGCTGCGGCCAGCTTGGCATGTGCCGGGCTTGAGTGCGGGCTGGATATGTACACTTTCTTCCCAGGCCCGGAGGGCGGCTTGGATGGAGAGAAGTCGGAAATGAATATAATCCCCTCGCTGGTAAGCACTGGCTTGAAGGAAATGAGGTTCAGGTTAAAGTTTAATCAAGTTTAGCAACAAATTGCACTCCAATATGACTTAGAGAGCAAGGTAGTGACCGTTGTAATACGGAACGGGCAGCGTTCTGCTGCCGAAACCTGGAGGAACGCACCCTGGGTTAAACAGACAGACGCAGGCGCTTCACTACAACTCTTCAAAGGGCTCCAAGCTCGCCATTGCCGATGGCTGTTTATATTACGGAGATACCACAACAGTAGTTCTCCGCCTTCCTCATGCCGCGACCCTGTCATACAGTTCCTCATGTTGTGGGGACCCTCCAACCATAAAATTATTTTCGTTGCTACTTCATAACTGCAATTTTGCTACTGTTATGAATCGGGCAACCCCTGTGAAAGGGTCCTTTGACCCCCAAAGGGGTCACGACCCACAGGTTGAGAACCACTGTACCAGAAGGTTACTAACAGAATGAACAAATGTTTGCTCTTCCACATAAATTCCATGCACAAACTTTCATTAAAAACCTCTTCTCGTTGCATCCGTAACTTCAAATCTCAATGACTTTTCACAATAAAAAACGGCCTCGAGAGAAGAGGCTCAGCATATAGGTTAGCAGAGTTCAAATATTTGACTTATGAGCCTCATTTTCTATGATTATTCTGAGCTACTAAGTCTACAGACATTTTCCCCCCTCCATCCTTCACATCAAATTAAATCTTACAATGTGTAAAGAGTAACTTTTTCCACTCCTAATTAGTGAGTGTGCTGAAAGACAATAATGGCTTAATGACTATGAGAAGTTAAAAGTATTGCTGCGAAGGTTCCAATTCATTGATTCACGTGTCTAATCCACACAAAACACGTTTATCCATGTCTCTTGTCTTCCGTGAATGGCTGCAGACAAGTTCTCCCAGTAATACACTTGTCTGAGACACAGCAGGGAATTAGAACAAAACCGATACTTTCTGTGCCACGGTAAACAAATTATTTCATGTCAGTGTTACAAAACCTAAGTGGACATTGTCCCAAGTCACTGAAGCTTTGCAACAAGTGTGCTGGCGTGCTGTCCCACATCATACCAGAGTGTTCAGTTGGAGCAAGCGTTTTAAGGAGAGTTGGGAAGGCTACAAAGATGAGTCGAAGGAAGGGAAGATTGTCAACCTTGAAGGAAGGCATTTTGGCTGAAGGCCAGAAACTGGTGGGGGAAGACCTTGCAATTACCATTGATAGGCTAGCTCCTGGAGTTGGGCTCTTGGATGTCTTCACATTTCCGTTTGGGGGAACACCTTGGCCTTGGCAAGCTTTCAGCTCATAGAGGTCAAAGCTAAGTTCAGCTAGCTCAAAAAGTTGACCTTCCCCTTAGTCTTTGAAGCAAGACAGAAGCTAATGAGTGTGAAGTATGGAATAGACTATAGCCGGGGATGAGGCGTGGGTTTGCCAGTATGATTCTGGGGACAAGGTCCAATCAGAAAAGTGGCTGCAGAGGGGATCGGCTGGGTCAGTTAAGTTCAGGGCAGAGAGGTCGGCTCAGAGGATGAGGGCAACTGTTTCTGTGAGATTTTGAAGAGGTCATCTGGGAAAGATTTTCTCAAAGGACACTGGATGCTCACAGCAGCATATCAGGGGAAAAAGAAAGAAAACGGAAAACTGCACAGCTGAGCAGAAGGCCAGCCAGGCTGCACCGAGGATTTTTTCTAGCCTCACAGCGCCCACCGGCTCATTCTCTGAAGGGAGCAAGGGCTCTCCTACAAGACGCTGTCTGGGAAATCTTGCCCCACCCACCCTAGAGCCCTGCTCTCGCCCTTTTTGGATTGTTTGTCCCCCAAATGCTGAGAACATTGGCAAGGAACAGACTGCAGGCCCTGGAGGATGCCAACAGCAATGCTTATGACGTGACGGCAATGGAAGAACCCAGAGTTCTGGGGAAGCACACGCTGTCTTCACAAGTGGAGACCTAGGCGGAGGACATGTCACAAACAAGAGCTTCGCACTTAGGCATTTTTGTTTATTTGGACGGGGTTCTATGACTGTGTAGCAATACTTTTTGAGTTCTAACCAAAATATTATGCCTCGTGCAACCAAAATACTCAGGGGAGGCAGCACCACACCACATTCGGCAAAGCGTGCCACTCCTTTCTGTCCCCCAAACTCCGTGAAGGCAGGGACTCTCATCTTGGAGCACTCAGAGATGCCAGGGGCTGTGAGCAATGCCTGGTGCCTGGTAAAGGCACGAAAACTCGCTGCTGGAGGACTGAAGAGGTTCCACACAATTTTGCCACAAAAATAACTTTCTGAAACAAGTCTAACTTGATCAGTAGCTCAGAAAACATGAAAAGCCACCTCCACAAGAAAAACTTCCTTCATCTTGTTCTCCCCTCACGTACACCAGTTTACCCTTCGTGCCTGGTATAAAGGAGACTAACTTTTCTAAAAAGGAAGAACTTCCCTGGGACCTAACTAAATAAAACTCTTGACTCAAGGTCTTTACTGCTCCAAGGAGGACGGCTTGAATGGTGCCTGACTGCCACCAGCACAGCCCCTCTCTCCCCATGACGAGCCAAAGCCCAATCACAAATTCAACTCCCAAGACAGATGGCACGAGTCTACAAGTCAGTATCTGTCAGGAGCCACCCATAGCGACATCAGAGGACACAGTGGAACTGCCTTTGCAGGTTTCTGAGTCTATAAATCTTTACAGGAGTAGAAAGCCTCACTCTTCTCCCTCGGCGTGGCCTGTGGTTTCGAACTGAGTCGGCACGGACTCAATGGCAGAGTTTAGTTTTCCGCTTACCAGGAGCTAAGATCTAAAGGCCTGATGGACTGCTCCCCTTTTCTCAGTCATTTGAATGTGACAGGTACGTAACGTGCATCTACGTCTACCTTCAGTGTACCCCACTGAGGATATTCCGACCGCTTCTCTTATTCCACACCAGCAGGTACTACTCACGTGTTACGTGTGAGGGATCAAAAGGGTCAAAGGAAAATGAGAGGATGTTGTCTGCGTAGCTCTTTTTCCACAGCTTGGTGGCCGTGTCTGCGTTCCAGAGCACGATGTAGTTTGGCGGGTGGATGGCGAGCAGTAAATCCCGGGAGGCATCTTGATTCCACAGCCACTGCAGGTCTGCAAAGACCAAGCGACGCAGGTAACGATCAGAAGCGACGGCAAAGAGCACTATCCTAACTCATCTTCCATGGCAAGGTCTTTAAAGTAGAGCCCTCCACATGTTAATCTCCCCAAATGCAATGAGTGTGTGCTGTGTGTAGACTGTACCAAAAACTTTAATAACCAGCTATCTGGTTAAAATCTCAAGTTTGAATTGCTCTGGCAATCTGAAACATGACTTCAAATAAAGTTTTAAAAGCACTTTGCCTTCGATGAAGCAATGCTTCTATGGCACTAGTTAACGGGACTTTACAGATATTTCATGAGCTTTCTTGAGTGCACGATAAGGATCCAGTGTAGTATCCGTATGTATTAAGTACTCAATAAATATTTTCTCCATGACTGAGGAAAAGTCACTCGGTCAAACCCTTGAGTCAAAAAATACTGAAACTGATTGTGGTAATGATTGTACAACTCTTCTTAATGTGACAGAACTGCTGAATTGTAACTTATATGAATTATATGCCAATAAAACTTTTTTTGGGGAAAAAAAAAGACGATACTAATTTTAGGTGAATACCATATACAAACAAGCATGCAAACACTCGATGTCTATAAAACCGAGAACACAATTCCGACCATCTCAGTGGGAGAAAGCAGCCAGGGTCCATTGACATGAGCAGCTCAGCCAGCTGCGGTGATTACAGCCTGTGCTTCTGTGTACTCCAGATGCAACGTCACCGAGGCGGAGGCTGCTCTCAGCGAGCATTGCCAGCGTGCCAGTGAACTGAGATCTGAGGAACTAGGACCACGCATGTGCTGGGCAGGAACAGAAAGCGGTGAGATTCAGGGCAGAAGAACAGGCCCAACACCATCACCAAGAACTGTCCGGAGGTGAGAGGCTCCCAGGGTCAGAGGCCCAGCGACGTGCCAGGCAGAGCAAACGTCCCTCACCCTGGACAGGCTTCACGTGCTCTTGAATCTCACACTGAGGCACTCCCGCCGCCACGTCCCACACGATGATCTTCCCGTTGACATCAGCGGAGGCTAAGCGCAAGGAATAGGGTGAGCCAATGTTATGGTGGTAATTCTCCCTGGCCCACTTAACCTAGCAGCAAGAAGAAATTGGGTCAAGTAAATACTTGCACCAGATAAAAGCAAACATAATTTTCACAAAACAATGAGACCCTACGAACTACATTTGCATCATAAGAGAATTAATAAGAAAGAACAGGAAATGGTTTTCCATTGGAAAAGTCAGACATTTTTATTGTTTATGGTATACATTTAAAGTAAGGGTTGAAATGTTTTAAAACATCAATGAGAGTGGTACCTAGCTTTAATAATTTAAGAAATGCAGGTCAAAAATCATACAATTCTATGGAAATTCATTTTCCTACAATGTATTTATTCTATCCAAAGCAAGCCCACTGCTATAGAGTCAAATTAAAGCTTCTATCAACCCTACAGTAATAAGCAAAACTACTCCATAGGGTTTGCTGGGCTGTAAATCTTACCTCTGAGTTTCTGAGACTGAAAATCTTTATAGGAGCAGAAAGTCTCATCTTTCCCCCTAGGATCGTTGGTGACTTTGAACTAGTGATCTTGGAGTTGGCACCCCAATGAGTAACCCATCGCTCTACCAGGGCTCCATTACACCCGTTGTTACTAGGTGGCCTCAAGTCAGTTCCGACTAATAGCGAACCAATGTACAATCGAACGAAACACTGCCAGCTCCTGCTCCATGCTGTTACGTTTGAGCCCACTGTTGCGGCCACGGTGTCACTGGGGTTTTCTCTTTTTCACTGTGGTTCCACTTTACCAAGCATGATGTCCTTCTCCGGGGACTGCTCTCTCTCAATAACATGTTCAAAGTGCAGGAGATGAAGTCTCCCCATCCTGGCCTCTAAGGAGCATTCTGGCTGTACTTCTTCCAAGACAGACTTGTTTATTCTTTTGGCAGTCCATGGTACTTTTCGATATTCTTTACCAGCATCATAATTCAAATGCATCAATTCTTCTCGTCTTCCTTGATGTCCAATTTTCACAAGAATTCAAAAAATTGAAAATACCATGGCTTTGGCTAGGCCCACATTACTCAAATTAACCTCTTTGCTCTTCAGTACTTTAAAGAGGTTTTGCGCAGATTTACCCAATGTAATATATCCTTTGATCTCCTGACTGCTGCTTCCATGAGCATTGATTGTGCATCCAAGGAAAATAAAATCCTTGACAACTTCAGGCTTTTCTGTTTATCATGTTACCTACTGGTCCAGTTGTGAGAATTTCGGTTTGCGTTCAGTTGTTACCCTGAAGGCTGCAATCTTTGATCTTATCAGCAAATGCTTCAGTCCTCCTCAAGTGGTCCAAGTCCTCTTCACTTTCAGCAGTTTTCCATGTGCATTTTGCAGGTTGGTAACAAGTCTTCCTCCAATCCTGATGCCACATTCTTCTTGAGTCCAGCTTCTCTGATGATTTGCTCAGCATACAAGATGAATAAGGGTGGTGAAAGGATACACACCTTCCTGATTTTAACCCATGCAATATTCCCTTGTTCTGTTCAAAACCATCTGCTGTTTATTCCCTTGATCTGCCTCTTGGTCTACAAGTAGGTTGTACATGAGCACAATCAAACATAATGGAATTCCCATTCTTTTCAACGCTATCCATCGCATGATTTACATCCTAGCGAATGTCTCTGAACAGTGAAAAAAACATAAGTAAACATTTTTCTGGTATTCTGTCGGCAGCCAAGATCCATCTGATATCAGCAATGATATCCTTGTTATCTACCACCTCCTTTGAATCCTCTTGAATTTCTGGCAGCTCCTGGTCAATGTTCTATTGCAACCATTGCTGAATGATTTTCATAAAAAATTTTCTTGTATATTTGATACTGTTGATAATTTGTCAACAGTATCTGTTGGCTGACCTTTCTTTGGAGTAGATATGGATCTTTTCCAATAGGTTGCTCAGGTACTTGTCTTACAAACTTCTTAGCATAGGTGGGTAAGTGATTCCAGTGCTTCACTGAAGCATTTCGATTCGTGTTCCACCAATTTCTGGCGCCTTTAGTGCAGCTTGAACATTTTCCTTCAGTATCACTGATTCTTGACCATATGTTCCTTCTTGAAATGTAGACTAATTATTTTTGGTACAGGTGACCCTATATATGCTTTCCATCTGCTTTTGATACTTCCTGCATCATTCACTATTTTGCCCACAGAATCCTTTAACATTGCAACTCAAGGCATGATTTTTTCCTTTAGTTTGCTTAGTTTAAGATATGCTGTGTGTTCATCTATTGCATTATAATACCCTTATTTTGTCTTCTTGAGTTGCTCTTTGAAATCTTCTATTCGGCTCTTTTATTTCATAATTTCTTCCATTTGCCATAGCTACTCTCTGATTAAGAGCAAGTTTGAGTCTCCTCTGACATCAACCTGAATCTTTTCATTCTTTCCTGTTTTGCTTTCTTCATGTATGATATTCTGGATGTCATCCCATAGGTCATTAGACCTTCAGTCATTGATGTTCATGAGTCAAATCTATTCTTGGGATGTTCTCGAAATTCAGGTGGGATATATCAAGGTTGTATTCTGGCTCTCATAAACTTGTTTTAATTTTCTCCAGAGGTGATGAAGCTAACTCTCTGAATCCTGAGGCCCCAGCCCCAGCCCCAGCCTGCCCTTCCCCCCAACAGCCTGGCCCTGCAGCTCTACTTCCAGTACCCCTTGTCTTTCAGTTTCGGTTTCCAAGTTCCTTGACCTCTGACCCTTGGGCCAGCCTGGCCACTGCACTCCTCAGACAAGTGTTACAAAGCTCTTTCGCCTACCCACAAGTACCCAGAGGAATCTTGCTCTGCCAGCAAACCTCCTGCCCCAAGATAATCGGCTCTCTCACCCCATAGGCCAGTTCCCATATCATCTTACACCAGTATGCTGGTTCGCGGTTCCAGCGTCTCACCAGTCTGGGCCGACAATGGTGCGATCACTCTCCTTTTGTCCTTCTGTGACCTGAGGCCCACAGCAGGTGTTATGTTATGCCTGTTTTCCCACAGCTTGTCCTACATGTCTCGCTATCTGAATGCATTGGTATGTTTGCTTTGTGGGCTTCCTCACCACACAAGTTACATGAGGCTTTTCTTCTGTGTCCTCAGCCCTCAGTCAGTGCTCAAAACCAATGGATGACTGAGTGGCACAGTAAATGGGACAATTAATCATTTCTAGCGGAGCACTTAGGGCTAAGCACTGGGCTGCTAGACACAAGATTTGTAGTTCAAACCTATCAGCCCCTCTATAGGAGGAACATGAAAGCTATCTGCCCCTTAAAGGTTCACAACCTCAGAAACCCTACCGAGCAGTTCTACTCTGTCCTCTGTTGGGCTGCAATGAGCTGAAACTGACTCAAGGGCAATGGGCTTAGTTTTGGTTTCTCAGCTTTAAACATGGTTCAAGAAGTACCATTTTATAGTCAGCCCTGAGTCACACTGTGTCACAGGAAATGCTAGCCTGCCCCAAGTTGACCATGTTTGAAAGCTTTCCTGTATTTTACATACATACAACTTAATGAAACTCAAGTGGTATTTAAAACTGGAGAATAAAAAGTCTCCTGTACTAAGACTGTAAGTGGGTTTTCACTTACCTTGACAACATCAGCTTTATGCTTCTCCAAGACTTGAAGAGTCTGGGCAGTATTTGAATCAATCACTACTACGAGCGAATGACATCCATAAGCAATTAAACCTTGCCAGCCCCTAACAAAAGAGGAATATTAAAACTGAAGCATCCCTATCTCAGAAAAGCAACACCTAACTTCTCTTATCTAGACATCCTAGATAACCGAGAAATCAAATTAAAACCTGCCACCATTCATAAAATTATCTTAAGCCCAGCGACATTTTCCATGAACTCATTTAAATAAAAGGTCTACACTCATAAACTTTTATTGACATTCATTTTCCATTCCGTTAGAGGGGTTTTTGAGAAGTGTACTTATCTAGCCATGAGCCAACTACATAGAAACGAACGGAGCTGTGTGCTTGCCTTTGAGGGTACGGGCCTCAACTTATCCAACTTTGATGTCTTACCAAGCCACACCCCCAATCACCCAGTGGATTCTGATTCATAGGGACCCTAGAAGACAGAACCGAGTCGATGCATTGGGTTTCTGAGGCTGCAAATCGGGAAGCTGACAGCCGCCTCATTCTCTCATTTTCCTCCAGTGAAGCAGCTGCTGTGTTCTAATGACCACAATTTCAGTGAGCCAGCCAGTACTTAACCCACTGCACCACCAGGGCTCCTCTGACCCCTGAAGCATACACAAAGTACCTGACACCACATTGGATAAGTACCTGTTGCCACTTGCAAACATTTCCACTAGATAAAAAAGACAAATATGGGCCCAGCCCCAAGGGGGTTTCAATCCTCTTGGCAATAGTATCAAGTGCCACAATATTATCGTGTGTCTGATTATTAAAACAGGAGCCCTGGAGGTGGGGTGCTTGTGCACTGAGTTGTGAACCGCAAGATCAGCCATTTCAAAGCACCAGCCGCTCCCCAGGAGGAAAGGCCAGGCCTTCCACTCCTATGAAGAGTCATAGTCTCGGAAAGTCACAGGCCAAGTCTTACTCTGTGCTGCAGGGTTACTGTAAGGCACCCAGGTGGTGTAGTGGTAATGTGATGGGCAAGGCTGAAAACACCAGCTGCTCCTCAGGAGATAGGTAGGACTTGCTCTCCTGTAAAGAATGAACAGACTCAGAAACTCAGAGGTAATTCTACCCTGTCCTGTAGGGTCACGATGAGTCAGCATCGACTCAATGGCAGTGAGTTTGTTATTAAAATGTCTGAGTTGTAATGCGATTTTTACAGTGAAAAGATAAAACTTAAGAGACACGAACTGCTGAGGGTGGGCACGTCCTAGGAAGATCAGGGAGGGCAGGAACACACAGGTGAAAGGAAGGACAGGTGAGTGGCAGGTGGGCACAGGGCCTGGCCCATCTGAGTAAGAGTGAGAAACAAGGATGAGGCAGAGAGAATGGGGGAGAGGCTGTGAGGCCCGGGGTGGCGGGTGGAGGGAGAGATGCCTAGTGGTTGCAGGAGGTTTAGAGGGGACGAGATGGGTGGCAAGGAGCGGTCACGAGAACTGCCAAGAGAAACAAAACCTACTCATCACGACCTTATAGAACAGGGTAAAACTACCCCTGTGAGTTTCCGCTACCGGTAACTCTTTCGGGAGTGGAAAGCCCCGTCATTCTCCCTGGGAAAGGCTGGTGGTTTCGAACGGCTGACCTTGCAGTTAGCAGCCCAAGGCGTAACCACGACGCTTCCAGGGCTCCCAGAGAAGCAGAGGTGGGCCAAAGAGGCCAGATCTATCTGCACAAGGAAACGCTCCACGCAAGGGCATTGATTACTTTGAGCACAAGAGCTGCAGCACTGAAATCTCCACGGAGTGGGGGGGCACCATGCCTTGGCCGGGCCACACGCACCAAAGGGTGAAACCTCGCCTCCCTCCCCTCCGCTCCCCTCCCCAACTTCTGGCCGAGCCTGGGCGGCCTGGGGCCAGTCGCCCTCACCAGTCCACCGCCGCCTTGTTGTGGGCGTTGAGGGCCCCGGTGAGGGTGCGGGCCGACACCTTGAAATTCACGGTGTAGGGCAGCATCGCGGGAGGGGAGCCTGGCCCGAGGCGCCAGCTGGCAACCAGGAAGCAGCGGCCTCCGCGTTTCCGCCCGTAGCGGCGTCCGGATGGCACGGCGGGCCCTGCTGACAGGTTCCGCCGGAAGTAACGTTCCGTCCCCCACAGCCTCCGTCGCTTCCGTTTCCGGCACCTGGATTCCACTCCCCCCGTTTCCGTTGCTTTCAGGTTCCGCTGCGGCCCTCTTGGGTCCCGCCTGGGTTTTAGAGCGCAGGGATTGCACCACAGCGCGCAACTCTGGGCAGTTACTCGGGGGTAAAACGAGTTTCGGCCTCCAGACGCGGCTCTTCTCATCAGGTTGGACTGCCTGGGCCTCTGTGCCCTGCTGGAAATGGTCAAAGGAAGGCAGCCAACGCCCCGATACTTCTGCCACTGATCAGTTCACGTTGGGTACCTTTGTAGGCATCAAGGGTTTAGAACAAGACCTCTTTTTCGTGGAGCTTACAGAATAGTGAAGAAATGGAATTCACTGGTTGAAATGGAGAGGGTGAATGAATGAAGGATCTGAAGGTAAATCATTTCAAAAATGGAGGCCTGAGGTCTTGGAAACACTCCCTTGGATTTTATGAAAACAGCTGAACCCAGAGGCCACCAGGCAAACCCCCTCTTGTTGAAGTGGCTTTCACTTTTCACTTTCTCCTCTTCCACATCTTCTTCAAACCAGATTAATCACGCCCTCCTCAGTACTTCATGTAAACATTGCTATGATTTTTGCGAGTCTCTTAGGAACCCTGGTGGTTAGGAGTTTCTCATATTGGGCTGCTAACTATAGGGTCAGCAGTTCCAAACCACCAGCTGCTCTGTGGGAGGAAGACGGATTTCTACTTCCATAAAGAGTTTCAGTCCAGGAGATCCACAGGGGCAGTTCTCTTTGTTCTATAAGGTTCCTGTGAGTCAGAGTCCACGGGATGGCAATTGAGTTTGGTTTGCTTCTTTCTCTCCTGTACAGGCTATTAGCTCCTTGATCCATAAAAGGAACCAAATGTTGGCAATTTCATCAATCACACTCGAAAGACAGCTTTCTCAAAGATCACCTCCAACATTCTCCTAGTTGTCAAATTAATGTCAAATTCATCGTTGTCAAATTAATGAACATGTTTTGGCTCACATCCCTTTGCAGCTCACCCTCTGGTCCTACTTTTTACCCACGCCCTTTCCTAATGATGCCTTAGGTTTCCTTAGACACGCCCATAGCCACAACCTAAGTATATCATTGTCCTGGTGGCACCGTGGTTAGGCAACTGATGGCTGATTAAGGTCCTCTGTAGGAAACCACCAGCTGCTGAGTGGGAGAAAGATGAGACAGTCTTCTGGGTTAAGTTACAGCCTTGCTCTTTTCTGTCCCACAAGATTGGGTTGAGTTGGAATTGATGAGACAGACATGCACCTTGAGTTCTTCATTAAAAACCTTGGATGCTTCCCAGATAGACATCGGTAATAGTCTCCTAACATTTATTCTCTGTACATTATTTCATAGGGACAGTATCATTGTGTGTTAGTACCTGCAACCAGAAGGCATTTGTACCTCAGAAGTCTGGCGCCTGCACACAGAACCCCAATTCCATCTTATGCTTTGAAACAGTCCAAAGGCCATCTTGAGTACTTTACACACATATTTTTGACCACTGAGCTGCAAAGATAACCAAAACAACTACTAACGAGACAGGGAGAAGCAGAATAGTCCTGATGAATCTCCTAGATAAATGTGGGAAGGCAAGAAGAGGTTGTCTGCCTATGGAAAAGACAGGTCATTTAGAACAGACATACACAAGACTTAGGGACCTTGACCTAAGGACATCTTCCTCACAACTTTATGGAGCAGTTTTCTTTCTTTTTTTTGTCCTCCCCACTCCTGCCAATTGAACTAATCATATTTTAAAAGCCTATTGACTGTCATTATCATAAACTTTGTATCAGTAGTGCCTATAAAGTAATTACTAGGAATTAGCTTATCCATGGAAGGCATCAAACCCCCACTGAATTTTGTATATACACCATTGGTCTTGTATTGCTCTTTGGACTGCGACAGACAAAACTTTGACAGTGTGTGGGTCCATTTCCCACCTCTCTTTCTTCTTTATGCAAAATAATATTGTTTTTCTTCACTGTTGTAACTTTGTGGTAGTTTCTCCCTAGTTCCACAAAGTTTGCTCAATTATAAACAATAAAAAATGTGCTCAGTTATAAACCTACACTTCCCAACTTCCCTTAAAACTAGGTCCACCCATGAGACTACATTCTGGCCAATGCAGTATCAATGGGTGTTTCCTGGGTTTTGATCTCTGGAACGTCTTTCCTCTTTGCTGTGCTTTTCAATATTCACCCCCTGACCCTCTGGTTTTCTACAGATAGATCAGTCTAGAGGGTAACCACAATGTAGGGGAATAAATACACCTTTGTAAACTGTCTGGATCATAACAAACTATAGATAACCTTGGGAAGAATGGGAGTTCCAGAAAACCTAGTTGTGCTCATGCAGAACCTGAACTTGAATCAAGAGGTAGTTGTACAGACAGAACAAGGGCCTACTGTGTAGTTTAAAATCAGGAACGGTGTGCATCAAGGTTACATCCTCTCACCAGACTTATTCAATCTGTGTTCTGAGCAAATAACCAGGGCAACTGGGTCATTTTGAAGAAGAATGTGGCAAAAGGATTAGAGGAAGGCTTATTCACAACCTGTGGTGATATGCAGATGACATAACCTTGCTTGATGAAATTGATGAGGATTTGACACACTTGCTTATGAAGATCAAGGATTGCAGCCTTCAGTATGGATGACCACTCGATGTAAAGAAGACCAAAATCCTCCCGACTGGACCAACAGGTTAGCATCATGATAAACAGAGAAGAGAGTAAAGTGGCCAAGAATTTTGGCTGGCTTGCATGCACAATTAGTACTCATGGAAGCAGCATTCAAGAGATCAAAAGACATGGCATTAGGTAAATCTGCCACACGAGACCTCTGTAGAGTATTGAAAAGCAAGGGTGTTAGTTTGAGGACTAAAGCATGCCTGACCTGACTAAGATAGGAGGACTAGGGGATTTCTAATTGCCTCGTGTGCATGTGAATGTTGGACATTGAATAAAGAAGACCAAGTCAGTGAATTTGCATTATGGTGCTGGGGAAGAATATTGCAAAGTACCCTGGACTGCCAAAAGGACAAATACATCTGTCTTGGAAGAAGTCCAATAAGAATGCGCCTTAGAGGTAAGGATGACGGGACTTGATCTCACGTGCCTTGGGCATATGGCCAGGAGAGACTATCCCTAGAAAAGGACATTGTGCTTGGTAAAGTAGAGAGACCGGGAAAAGAGAAAGGCCCTTGACAAGATGGATGGGCACAGTGGCTGCCACAATGGGCTCAGGCATAAGAACAATTGTGAGGATGGTGCAGGGCCGGGGGCGTTTCATTCTGTTGTGCATGGGGTTGCTATGAGTTGAGCCAACTAGATGGCGACAATGGCAATAGATGTAGGAGTCCTGGGGGCATACTGGTTAAAACACTTGGCTGCTCACAGGAAAGTTCACCATTAGAAACCACCAGCTTCTCCAGGAGAGCAGGATGTGACAACCTTGGAACCCCTGTGGGGCAGTTCTACTCTGTCCTAAAGGGTCCTAGTATGTCAGAATTCCTTCACCTGCAGTGAGTTTTATGCTTAGTAGACTTAGAACTCCTCTCAGAAAGGAACCAAATTCTAGTCTTTTTATTACCACCTTTCTTGCCATGATGTTGGTGTTCAATAAATGATTGATGGTACAGGAGAGCAGGAACTATAAATTAAACATCAGACCAACCAGGAACAAGGTGACAACAAGGATTCAATGCAAGTGCTCACAGATGAAGGCGAACAGCAGGTAAGCAAACCTCCACACCCCCACCCCCCACCCCTGGGGTAAGAAGCAGCCTCTTAAAGGAGGAATAATTAGTTTAATTCTGCAGGGACAGGAATGTTGAATATTCAGGCCAAGAATGGATAAGCCAGCTGGGGTTGGGACAATAATATGTCTCCCATGGTGCAAGAGTGTGCAATTAAGTATGTTAATGGGTTTTATGGACTTCTCTGAAGCATCTGTCTTGGCCAGTATGGGAGGCAGCGTATTAGATACACAAATGCCTCTCCAAGAGGAGAGTGCTTATGCTCCTCTTTATGCCTGGAAACATTTCTATTTCACCCCAGGCCCGAGGACATCACCCCCAACCAGCCTGGCGGGGTGGGCTCAGAGCATCTGCCATGGCAGCATCATTTGCATCCCTATATAAGGACACACTTTGTCTCCCTTCTTTTAAAGTTGGTAGAGAGAAGAGAATGTGACATTTCTGATTCCTGTTCTGATGGTTTGGGGAAAGAAGGAGAGCCAAAGAAAGGGATAGGACAGAGGAAATAGACATAGATGACCGAGTAACGCACGTGAATGTGTAAAGAATCTTTCCAGTGTCGCTAGTTAATGGACACATGGATGTGAGCCTAGATGGAGATGCTGAGAATGAAGATGATGAAGTCAAGAGCTTGCTTTTCTACATGCACCATCTCATCCAATCTTCTCAACCCCCCTAAGGGTGCATTAACATTTCCCCAATACTTTCCCAAGCATGATGTCCTTCTCCTGATAATGTGTCCAAAGTACATGAGATGAAATTATGCCATTCTTGCCTCTGAGGAGCATTCTGGCTGTACTTCTTCCAATACAGATTAGTTTGTTATTTTTGAAGTTCACTGTACTTTCAATGTTCTTCACCAGCAGCATTGATTCACCTGCCTTATCCAATGTCCATCTTTTACATGCATATGAGGCTATTGAAAATACTGTGGCTTGGGTCAGGGGTACCTTAGTCCTCAAACTAACCTCTGCTCTTTCAAACACATTCAAGAGGTCTTGTGCAGCACATGCACCCAAAGCAATGCTCACTTGATCTCTTGGCTGCTGCTTCCATGAGCGTTGATTGTGGATCCAAGCAAGGCGAAATCCTAAGAACCCAAATCCAGTTGTGATTTTATGATTTTCAAAAAACAA